AATTAGTTTTCAATCTCGATTTAAAACTGCATAGTGCCTGTGGCTTCCAAATGTCGGAAGGAGAGAGCGTTCCAGACGGCCGCAGAAACGCATGCGCGCGATGCGGTGACCTTATTTGTTCAATGGCTAGCCGAAACCCGCTGTGAGGATGATCGGAGTTCGCGTAATGATGGTTTGTGCTCCTTGACGAGATCAGCAATATATTGTGGCTCATTTGTGTAATAATTGCGACCTTATCACTCACTCAAATTATGCATGAATGCAGTGTCGGAAAATTTACATTTTAATTAATCCACAGGGGTTTTTATGCCGCCCCAACTAAATGAGTACGCTGTGTGATCATTTGGGGGATTATGGGACACGATTTGTGTGGCGTGCTCATCTCGCTTTCTTTGGTTTCCGACTGACGAGTATAAATTGGCCTTTCAGTCCATTTCCCGGAGATCTGTCGTCTTACGGTGGTCAGATTTGCCCTCTCGATGGTGCTGTCATCTTGATTTTTCAAAATTTCCATTTGAATACAGATTGCTTATCTTTTTCGAGCAAATTTGGTTCGGAGATTATTGTTAATTCTACACATTCGTATACAACTATAACCATTTTTATATATTTTTTATCTGTAAAACAAGCCTCCATTGCGTATAATAATAATTATTATAATTTTACGAATTCATCCAGGAAGTCACACCGAGTCGTACGACTATTTTTCTGGAGGGTCCTGCTACATTGAGTTTTTTTTATTTTAAGATATTTTCAGCCAATTATTCACGAGTGTTTATGCATGTTTGAGGAAACCGGAGCAACCGGAGAAAACCCACGCATGCGAGGGAGCAACACTCGATCACCGTACAGATGTAAACAGATTGCGATTAGTCCACTGGCTAAACTGCCGTCCCCTGGCGAGCAAGGGTATGGCGCTTCCTCTACGCCCACGGCAATGAATTCTCGCAACATTTATATGATCCACTAACCCTCGCTTCCAGTGTTGGATTACATGCCACGTGCGTAGCCACCACTGCCTGGGCACTGACTACAATATGAACATGTGAAGCATCGTCAGTAACTAATACATTAACTCTAAATCATGAGCGACCTTTAACGAATTAGGCAGCGGCTCTTATATGGGTAAAAGGTGTTAGACGTGTGGGATAATGCACTGTGAAACAGGGGTGTTCGGTTTGGGGTTTATCTTTATATGATCACGTGGCCCAGATTATGTTGAACACCAAATTCTGAACAAAGCCATTCTGAGCCACGGTTTCGTGAAATCGACCAGAATCCGTCAGTTGATCCGATCGAGCAAGGTTCAGGTCAGATGTTAATGATCATAAAGGCTTAGATCGATGACTTAACTAGAATCGATTCATCGGGTTATTTGCGCTGGCAACCGAGCACACGTGAAGCAATCGCAGTATATATGATCGATGAAAATTACGTGTAAATGTTACATCAAAGGTGATGCGAAGGAGAGAGAAGCAAGAAAAGGGAACAAGTGAGACGATAAAGACGAGAGGAAAAAACAAAACCGATTCCTGAATTAGCTTGCGATTTCGAATTGGAACAAATCATTTTGGTAGCCATGGGGTGCATCGGTGCAGCTTCGTATTAACGAATAGAGCTGACACGATTCATCAAATAAGTCGATGGAACTTGCAATCGATGATCTTCACCGTGGTCCAATTATTCGGGGAATTTAAAAACGGATGCCACCAAAAACATCTACCCCCCCGTCCCGCCACCGAAGGCTGGAAACCCTCTAGAAGCCATGCCCAGCATGACACGGCCAATGATGCGTGACCCCGGGGGCTGTTCATCCAACCTCCAGTACAGCGGCACGCGTGGGGAGAAGAGGTGAGAATTAGTTTTTCTCCGAATCTCTTCAAGTTGTCTGAGTACAGTCGTTGAATAAACGAACAGAACAACACATTCCTGCGGAGGGAGCTGGTAGGAACGTTGGGTTGCTCGGTCAATAGCCAGGGTCAACAGCAGCGTGGTGTATTCCGCAAATATGTCCGACTGTGAGGGCGGTCACAAGCCGGCGTGAGTAGGTTAAACGTTGAGTTTTATAGGGCACAATGGGTTGACCAGCCCCTCCCCACCCCCCACCCCTCCCACCCCCCACCCAGCCCCTCCCTACCCTCCCCACCCAGCCCCTCCCTCCCCACCCAGCCCCTCCCTGCACGATGGACGGACGGACACAATAATCCCTTGTGGGCCGGTGTAACCAGGAGGTTCCTACCAGTATCATTTGTACGTATGTTGAACTTCGTTCGCATCGTACGTAGCCAGCCGTGCTAACCGGAGGTGCGGGGAAGGACAACATTTAATAAAGCCCATCTCTACTTTTAACTCCCAAAGCCAGAGTCACAAGGGCACATGAGCCAATGCAAGGCTATGACTCAGCTTGCTATCCATATCGACCATTCAATACTATTACGTTTATACTTTGTTCCAATTTCATTATAATGTTTATATTTAGACATTTGTTGAGTATGATGGACTAATATTTTGTATCCATTACTTAGAGCCACTGTTGTTTTAAGGGTTTTTTATGCTTCTCTGCACATGAAATCTACGTGCAAGAAAACATTAAAACGAGTTTGTTAACAATCTGATCAATCCTGATCGTAGCAATTTTAAGCCGATCGCAAGGAATGTTAGCAATTTTAAGCCGCTCGTAATCAATGTTAGCAATGTTAATCTCTTGAACCAAGAGTTCGTTTAGGGTGAGAGACCATGCAGTGTCTGTTTATGGCCCACCGGATGGTACAGCCTTACTCCGAATGTGCGTGTGTGGTTTGGGGTGGTTAGGCAGAGAGCAATTAGAACCTCTCTGAGGGGCTAATCTCATCAAATTCTAGTTCTGTTGATTACAATCAGCCAACCGTCTGATGAGGTTAGTTTTCTATGACAAAGACAGCATAATGGGCTGTGTAATAATGGTAGGAACTACCTGGCTCCACCAGCCCACAGGGGATTATTGTGTCAGTCTGTCGTGCATCCAAAAATGGGAGGGGTGGGGCTGGGTGGAGAGGGGAGGGTAGGGAGGGGCTGGGAGGGGTGGGGCTGGGTGGGGAGGGGCTGGTCACTCCGTGGTGCCCTTATAAAACTCAACGTTTAACCTACTCACGCCGGCTTGTGACCGCCCCTCACCGTCGGCCATATTTGCGGAATACACCACGCCACCGTTGACCCTGGCCATTGACCGAGCAACCCAACGTTCCTACCAGCTCCCTCCGCAGGAATGTGTTTTATATATGTAAATATGTATATTGGCAGAATAAAAATAAAAATGTACCGCCACTTTGTCAATCCACTGCTGGATGAAAGCCTCCCCATTCTGTGTAAGTCGTGGAGGTTTGTTTGACCATACTTCACCACGCTAGTCATGCGGGTTGGTCCCAAAGCCCGTCTGGGAAAAATTGACATCCGTCATTTGGGTTCATAGTGCGGTGCGCTAACCACTGCTCTACCATATTTATCTCACCACATAAATATATATATTCTTAAAATATAAAAAATTACATACACAATCCATCAGCCACGTACGTGGCCTTCAGGGAATGCAGCGCATCAGCAGCATTGGTTCAACACACATACACATTCTGGACCGGTTTCGAAAATTCAGTGCCTCATCAGCAGAATCAAGCTTTTGCTTGTAGTGAACAGATGCTGCCGATTAGATGCAGTCTCAGAAGGCCGTGTGGCTGATGTGTTGTGTGTAACAATGTGATTTAACTTTTTTCTGGAAAGACAAATATGGGAAGGATGCGTTGTTTATTTATCCATTAATATTCTCCACAGCAAGGTTGAAAAAAATATATGTCACGCAGCGCTATTTAGGACACTGCTGTGAAAGCAATGAACACACCTCTCAGTGCAGCGCCTCTTAAGGAGAAACAACTCTGTTTTATAAAACATTGCATAAGGTACCCATTTAAGGTCTACAGGAGGCCCGGTACCGGTCCAGACATAACACACCACCGATGTTGGCCATGGCCTGGAATCACACCCAGGGGGTTTGCAGCGGAGTGCTTCTGCGCACTGAAAAGTGTCTAACGCAGAAACACCTTCACATAGAGAGAAGACCCTGTGTTAACACTACGAGACACCTCCTTTACCAGTGGCAAAATATAGTGATAGGTTTTCACCCTTTCAACTGGTACAAAAACTGACACCTTTATACAAGTCATCATGTTTGCAATAACCACAACACAAGCAGTCAAAATGCAAACAAAAAGAACCAACTCTGATGATGATAATGATATGCACTGTCCTTGAAGTTGATTGGTCCACACCCGAGATAGCTTTTCTTAGAGCCTAGTCTCCATTGGTGTTGGACCAGATGACGCCAAAAGGCGTACTGCAAACATGATGCCTTGTATAAAGGTGTCAGTTTTTGCACGAGTTGAAAGCGTAAAAACCTATTACTATCCCTGTGTTAGTTCATTGGTGAAACCCCCAGCAAGCAACGGTGCCCTAGAGCGAGCCGCTGCTACAGGAGGTTCCCACCAGGCTGGGTTGAGACGAGGCTGTGGTACAATGTCATCGGTACGCGTTTTGAGATGCCGTGGCATTTGAACAGACGGCCCTCGACGGCAAATGGAAATTCTTAAAAGTCCATCCTACAAACGGAACGCCGCGTAACAGATCCTTCTTCTGCTGCTGCTGCGGCTGCTGCGGCTGATTGTTCACGCTGGGGCATTAACTACAATTGTACATCGACGTGGTTAAAGGGGGGACCAGGTGATTGCGTGTGGAGTAGGAGCGGAGTAAGTGGCGTATTCGCTCCTGGGATGATGCTGCTGCTGCCTCCTCCTTTGTGTGTTTGTGAATCTGGCGATGATTGCGCCGTCCGCTGGTCGTTCCGCGTTTCGCTTTTGTCTGTTGACCCCAGCCGACCCCCAGCGAGAGACTGTGAATTTAGTGCGTGCCCCGCCCCCCAATCCCTACCCCCCCCCCGTGTTGTCCCCCCAACCCCCTCCCCCCTCCTCCTCCAGGCCTCGCAGGTCTCAACTCGATCTGCGTGCTGGCGGCGGAGCGCTTCGTCATGGTGTGCCGCCCGCTCAGCTCGATGCACTTCGGGGGGCGTCACGCGCTGCTCGCCCTGGGGGCCGCCTGGCTCTGGGCACTCGCCTGGGCCACGCCGCCACTGCTGGGCTGGGGCCGCTACGGGCCGGAGGGGGTGAGAGACACACCCCCCCCTCACCCATGCGTGACACTGCCCCCCCCCAGCCCACACTCCCCCAGCCTCCACACTCCCCAGCCTCTACCCCCCCAGCCTCCAACCCCCTGTCCCCACCCTCCCCTGCCCCCAGCCTCCACCCCCCTGCCCCCACCCCCTCAGCCAACACCCCCCCCAGCCTCCACCACCCCTGCCCCCACCCCCCCAGCCCCCCCCCACCGCCTCCATCCCCCCAGCCCCCACCCCTCCAGCCTCCACCCCCCTGCCCCCACCCCCCCAGCCAACACCCCCCCCTCTAGCCTCCACCACCCCTGCCCCCACCCCCCCAGCCCCCCCCCCACCGCCTCCATCCCCCCAGCCCCAACCCCTCCAGCCTCCACCCCCCCTGTCCCCACCCCCCCAGCCTCCACCCCCCCAGCCTCTACCCCCCCTGCCCCCACCCCGCCAGCCTCCACCCCCCCAGCCTCCACCACCGCGCAGCTTCAAGTGTCAATCAAATTCGTTGGCGGTGTCAGTGATGGGAATTTTGTATTCGTCAGTGAAGCGAGTGTGTGTGTGGTGTGTGTGTGTGTGCGGTGTGTGCGGTGTGTGTGTGGTGTGTGTTGTATGTGTGGTGTTGTGTGTGTTGTGTGTGTGGTGTGTGTTGTGTGTGTGTGGTGTTTGTGGTGTGTGTGTGTGGTGTGTGTGGTGGGTATGTGTGTGGTGTGTGTGGTGTGTGTGTGGTTTGTGTGTTGTGTGTGTGTGTGGTGTGTGTGTGTGAGGCGTGGTAGTGTAGTGGTAGCTCTCTGTGTGTGTGTGGAGTGGTAGTGTAGTGGTAGCTCTCTGTGTGTGTGTGAGGAGTGGTAGTGTAGTGGACAGCGCTCTGTGTGTGTGTGAGGAGTGGTAGTGTAGTGGACAGCTCTGTGTGTGTGTGTGTGAGGAGTGGTAGTGTAGTGGTGAGCTCTGTGTGTGTGTGTGTGGAGTGGTAGTGCAGTGGACAGCTCTCTGTGTGTGTGTGAGGAGTGGTAGTGTAGTGGTAGCGCTGTGTGTGTGATGAGTGGTAGTGTAGTGGACAGCTCTCTGTGTGTGTGTGAGGAGTGGTAGTGTAGTGGTGAGCTCTGTGTTTGTGTGTGTGAGGAGTGGTAGTGTAGTGGACAGCGCTCTGTGTGTGTGAGGAGTGGTAGTGTAGTGGACAGCTCTCTCTGTGTGTGTGAGGAGTGGTAGTGTACTGCTTAGTACTATGTGTGTGTGTGGAGTGGTAGTGTAGTGGTTAGTACTATGTGTGTGTGTGAGGAGTGGTGGTGTAGTGGTAGCGCTGTGTGTGTGTGTGAGGAGTGGTAGTGTAGTGGACAGCTCTCTGTGTGTGTGAGGAGTGGTAGTGTAGTGGACAGCTCTCTGTGTGTGTGAGGAGTGGTAGTGTAGTGGTAGCGCTGTGTGTGTGATGAGTGGTAGTGTAGTGGACAGCGCTCTCTGTGTGTGGAGTGGTAGTGTAGTGGTAGCTCTGTGTGTGTGTGTGAGGAGTGGTAGTGTAGTGGTAGCGCTGTGTGTGTGTGTGAGGAGTGGTAGTGTAGTGGTAGCTCTCTGTGTGTGTGTGTGTGTGAGGAGTGGTCGTGTAGTGGTAGCGCTGTGTGTGTGTGTGAGGAGTGGTAGTGTAGTGGTGAGCTCTCTGGGTGTGTGTGTGGAGTGGTAGTGTAGTGGTAGCGCTCTGTGTGTGTGTGTGAGGAGTGGTAGTGTAGTGGTAGCGCTGTGTGTGTGTGTGTGTGAGGAGTGGTAGTGTTGTGGTAGCTCTGTGTGTGTGTGTGTGTGAGGAGTGGTAGTGTAGTGGTAGCTCTCTGTGTGTGTGTGTGTGGAGTGGTAGTGTAGTGGTAGCTCTCTGTGTGTGTGTGAGGAGTGGTAGTGTAGTGGTAGCTGTGTGTGTGTGAGGAGTGGTAGTGTAGTGGTAGCTCTCTGTGTGTGTGAGGAGTGGTAGTGTAGTGGTCGCGCTGTGTGTGTGTGTGAGGAGTGGTAGTGTAGTGGTGAGCTCTGTGTGTGTGTGAGGAGTGGTAGTGTAGTGGTAGCGCTGTGTGTGTGTGTGAGGAGTGGTAGTGTAGTGGTAGCTCTCTGTGTGTGTGAGGAGTGGTAGTGTAGTGGACAGCTATCTCTGTGTGTGTGAGGAGTGGTAGTGTAGTGGTTAGTACTATGTGTGTGTGTGGAGTGGTAGTGTAGTGGTTAGTACTATGTGTGTCGGTGAGGAGTGGTGGTGTAGTGGTAGCGCTGTGTGTGTGTGTGAGGAGTGGTAGTGTAGTGGACAGCTCTCTGTGTGTGTGAGGAGTGGTAGTGTAGTGGACAGCTCTCTGTGTGTGTGTGAGGAGTGGTAGTGTAGTGGTAGCGCTGTGTGTGTGATGAGTGGTAGTGTAGTGGACAGCGCTCTCTGTGTGTGTGTGTGTGAGGAGTGGTAGTGTAGTGGTAGCGCTGTGTGTGTGTGTGAGGAGTGGTAGTGTAGTGGTGAGCTCTCTGTGTGTGTGTGTGAGGAGTGGTAGTGTAGTGGTAGCTCTGTGTGTGTGTGTGTGTGAGGAGTGGTAGTGTAGTGGTAGCGCTGTGTGTGTGTGTGAGGAGTGGTAGTGTAGTGGTGAGCTATCTGGGTGTGTGTGTGGAGTGGTAGTGTAGTGGTAGCGCTCTGTGTGTGTGTGTGTGAGGAGTGGTAGTGTAGTGGTAGCGCTGTGTGTGTGTGTGTGAGGAGTGGTAGTGTTGTGGTAGCTCTCTGTGTGTGTGTGTGTGAGGAGTGGTAGTGTAGTGGTAGCTCTCTGTGTGTGTGTGGAGTGGTAGTGTAGTGGTAGCTCTCTGTGTGTGTGTGAGGAGTGGTAGTGTAGTGGTAGCTCTGTGTGTATGTGAGGAGTGGTAGTGTAGTGGTAGCTCTCTGTGTGTGTGAGGAGTGGTAGTGTAGTGGTAGCGCTGTGTGTGTGTGAGGAGTGGTAGTGTAGTGGTGAGCTCTGTGTGTGTGTGAGGAGTGGTAGTGTAGTGGTAGCTCTCTGTGTGTGTGTGAGGAGTGGTAGTGTAGTGGTAGCTCTGTGTGTGTGTGTGTGTGGAGTGGTAGTGTAGTGGTAGCTCTGTGTGTGTGTGTGAGGAGTGGTAGTGTAGTGGTAGCTCTCTGTGTGTGTGTGAGGAGTGGTAGTGTAGTGGTAGCTCTCTCTGTGTGTGTGTGAGGAGTGGTAGTGTAGTGGTAGCTCTCTCTGTGTGTGTGTGTGAGGAGTGGTAGTGTAGTGGTAGCTCTGTGTGTGTGTGTGTGGAGTGGTAGTGTAGTGGTAGCTCTCTCTGTGTGTGTGTGAGGAGTGGTAGTGTAGTGGTAGCTCTCTCTGTGTGTGTGTGTGAGGAGTGGTAGTGTAGTGGTAGCTCTGTGTGTGTGTGTGTGGAGTGGTAGTGTAGTGGTAGCTCTCTGTGTGTGTGTGAGGAGTGGTAGTGTAGTGGTAGCTCTGTGTGTGTGTGTGTGGAGTGGTAGTGTAGTGGTAGCTCTGTGTGTGTGTGTGAGGAGTGGTAGTGTAGTGGTAGCTCTCTGTGTGTGTGTGTGGAGTGGTAGTGTAGTGGTAGCTCTGTGTGTGTGTGTGTGGAGTGGTAGTGTAGTGGTAGCTCTCTGTGTGTGTGTGAGGAGTGGTAGTGTAGTGGTAGCTCTCTGTGTGTGTGTGTGAGGAGTGGTAGTGTAGTGGACAGCTCTCTCTGTGTGTGTGTGAGGAGTGGTAGTGTAGTGGTAGCTCTCTGTGTGTGTGTGAGGAGTGGTAGTGTAGTGGACAGCTCTCTCTGTGTGTGTGTGTGGAGTGGTAGTGTAGTGGTAGCTCTCTCTGTGTGTGTGTGTGAGGAGTGGTAGTGTAGTGGTGAGCTCTCTGTGTGTGTGTGTGTGAGGAGTGGTAGTGTAGTGGACAGCTCTCTCTGTGTGTGTGTGTGAGGAGTGGTAGTGTAGTGGTAGCTCTCTCTGTGTGTGTGTGTGAGGAGTGGTAGTGTAGTGGTAGCTCTGTGTGTGTGTGAGGAGTGGTAGTGTAGTGGACAGCTCTCTCTGTGTGTGTGTGAGGGGTGGTAGTGTAGTGGTAGCTCTGTGTGTGTGTGTGGAGTGGTAGTGTAGTGGTAGCTCTCTGTGTGTGTGAGGAGTGGTAGTGTAGTGGTAGCTCTCTGTGTGTGTGTGTGTGAGGAGTGGTAGTGTTGTGGTAGCTCTGTGTGTGTGTGTGTGAGGAGTGATAGTGTAGTGGTAGCTCTCTGTGTGTGTGTGTGGAGTGGTAGTGTAGTGGTAGCTCTCTGTGTGTGTGTGAGGAGTGGTAGTGTAGTGGTAGCTCTGTGTGTATGTGAGGAGTGGTAGTGTAGTGGTAGCTCTCTGTGTGTGTGAGGAGTGGTAGTGTAGTGGTAGCGCTGTGTGTGTGTGTGAGGAGTGGTAGTGTAATGGTGAGCTCTGTGTGTGTGTGAGGAGTGGTAGTGTAGTGGTAGCGCTGTGTGTGTGTGTGAGGAGTGGTAGTGTAGTGGTAGCGCTGTGTGTGTGTGTGAGGAGTGGTAGTGTAGTGGTGAGCTCTCTGGGTGTGTGTGTGTGAGGAGTGGTAGTGTAGTGGTAGCTCTGTGTGTGTGTGTGTGTGAGGAGTGGTAGTGTAGTGATGAGCTCTCTGTGTGTGTGTGTGAGGAGTGGTAGTGTAGTGGTAGCTCTCTCTGTGTGTGTGTGTGTGGAGTGGTAGTGTAGTGGTAGCTCTCTCTGTGTGTGTGTGAGGAGTGGTAGTGTAGTGGTGAGCTCTCTGTGTGTGTGAGGAGTGGTAGTGTAGTGGTAGCTCTCTCTGTGTGTGTGTGAGGAGTGGTAGTGTAGTGGTAGCTCTCTCTGTGTGTGTGTGTGTGTGAGGAGTGGTAGTGTAGTGGTAGCTCTGTGTGTGTGTGTGAGGAGTGGTAGTGTAGTGGACAGCTCTCTCTGTGTGTGTGTGAGGAGTGGTAGTGTAGTGGTAGCGCTGTGTGTGTGTGTGAGGAGTGGTAGTGTAGTGGACAGCTCTGTGTGTGTGTGTGTGAGGAGTGGTAGTGTAGTGGTAGCTCTCTGTGTGTGTGTGGAGTGGTAGTGTAGTGGTAGCTCTCTGTGTGTGTGTGAGGAGTGGTAGTGTAGTGGACAGCTCTCTCTGTGTGTGTGTGAGGAGTGGTAGTGTAGTGGTAGCTCTCTGTGTGTGTGTGAGGAGTGGTAGTGTAGTGGTAGCTCTGTGTGTGTGTGTGTGTGGAGTGGTAGTGTAGTGGTAGCTCTCTGTGTGTGTGTGAGGAGTGGTAGTGTAGTGGACAGCTCTCTCTGTGTGTGTGTGAGGAGTGGTAGTGTAGTGGTAGCTCTCTGTGTGTGTGTGAGGAGTGGTAGTGTAGTGGTAGCTCTCTGTGTGTGTGTGTGAGGAGTGGTAGTGTAGTGGACAGCTCTCTCTGTGTGTGTGTGAGGAGTGGTAGTGTAGTGGTAGCTTTCTGTGTGTGTGTGAGGAGTGGTATTGTAGTGGACAGCTCTCTCTGTGTGTGTGTGTGGAGTGGTAGTGTAGTGGTAGCTCTCTCTGTGTGTGTGTGTGAGGAGTGGTAGTGTAGTGGTGAGCTCTCTGTGTGTGTGTGTGTGAGGAGTGGTAGTGTAGTGGACAGCTCTCTCTGTGTGTGTGTGTGAGGAGTGGTAGTGTAGTGGTAGCTCTCTCTGTGTGTGTGTGTGAGGAGTGGTAGTGTAGTGGTAGCTCTGTGTGTGTGTGAGGAGTGGTAGTGTAGTGGACAGCTCTCTCTGTGTGTGTGTGAGGGGTGGTAGTGTAGTGGTAGCTCTGTGTGTGTGTGTGGAGTGGTAGTGTAGTGGTAGCTCTCTGTGTGTGTGAGGAGTGGTAGTGTAGTGGTAGCTCTCTGTGTGTGTGTGTGTGAGGAGTGGTAGTGTTGTGGTAGCTCTGTGTGTGTGTGTGTGAGGAGTGGTAGTGTAGTGGTAGCTCTCTGTGTGTGTGTGTGGAGTGGTAGTGTAGTGGTAGCTCTCTGTGTGTGTGTGAGGAGTGGTAGTGTAGTGGTAGCTCTGTGTGTATGTGAGGAGTGGTAGTGTAGTGGTAGCTCTCTGTGTGTGTGAGGAGTGGTAGTGTAGTGGTAGCGCTGTGTGTGTGTGTGAGGAGTGGTAGTGTAATGGTGAGCTCTGTGTGTGTGTGAGGAGTGGTAGTGTAGTGGTAGCGCTGTGTGTGTGTGTGAGGAGTGGTAGTGTAGTGGTAGCGCTGTGTGTGTGTGTGAGGAGTGGTAGTGTAGTGGTGAGCTCTCTGGGTGTGTGTGTGTGAGGAGTGGTAGTGTAGTGGTAGCTCTGTGTGTGTGTGTGTGTGAGGAGTGGTAGTGTAGTGATGAGCTCTCTGTGTGTGTGTGTGAGGAGTGGTAGTGTAGTGGTAGCTCTCTCTGTGTGTGTGTGTGTGGAGTGGTAGTGTAGTGGTAGCTCTCTCTGTGTGTGTGTGAGGAGTGGTAGTGTAGTGGTGAGCTCTCTGTGTGTGTGAGGAGTGGTAGTGTAGTGGTAGCTCTCTCTGTGTGTGTGTGAGGAGTGGTAGTGTAGTGGTAGCTCTCTCTGTGTGTGTGTGTGTGTGAGGAGTGGTAGTGTAGTGGTAGCTCTGTGTGTGTGTGTGAGGAGTGGTAGTGTAGTGGACAGCTCTCTCTGTGTGTGTGTGAGGAGTGGTAGTGTAGTGGTAGCGCTGTGTGTGTGTGTGAGGAGTGGTAGTGTAGTGGACAGCTCTGTGTGTGTGTGTGTGAGGAGTGGTAGTGTAGTGGTAGCTCTCTGTGTGTGTGTGGAGTGGTAGTGTAGTGGTAGCTCTCTGTGTGTGTGTGAGGAGTGGTAGTGTAGTGGACAGCTCTCTCTGTGTGTGTGTGAGGAGTGGTAGTGTAGTGGTAGCTCTCTGTGTGTGTGTGAGGAGTGGTAGTGTAGTGGTAGCTCTGTGTGTGTGTGTGTGTGGAGTGGTAGTGTAGTGGTAGCTCTCTGTGTGTGTGTGAGGAGTGGTAGTGTAGTGGACAGCTCTCTCTGTGTGTGTGTGAGGAGTGGTAGTGTAGTGGTAGCTCTCTGTGTGTGTGTGAGGAGTGGTAGTGTAGTGGTAGCTCTCTGTGTGTGTGTGTGAGGAGTGGTAGTGTAGTGGACAGCTCTCTCTGTGTGTGTGTGAGGAGTGGTAGTGTAGTGGTAGCTTTCTGTGTGTGTGTGAGGAGTGGTAGTGTAGTGGACAGCTCTCTCTGTGTGTGTGTGTGGAGTGGTAGTGTAGTGGTAGCTCTCTGTGTGTGTGTTTGAGGAGTGGTAGTGTAGTGGTAGCGCTGTGTGTGTGTGTGATGAGTGGTAGTGTAGTGGTAGCTCTGTGTGTGTGTGTGGAGTGGTAGTGTAGTGGTAGCTCTCTGTGTGTGTGTGAGGAGTGGTAGTGTAGTGGTGAGCTCTCTGGGTGTGTGTGGAGTGGTAGTGTAGTGGTAGCTCTCTGTGTGTGTGTTTGAGGAGTGGTAGTGTAGTGGTAGCGCTGTGTGTGTGTGAGGAGTGGTAGTGTAGTGGTAGCTCTCTGCGTGTGTGTGTGTGGAGTGGTAGTGTAGTGGTGAGCTCTCTGTGTGTGTGTGAGGAGTGGTAGTGTAGTGGTAGCTCTGTGTGTGTGTGTGTGGAGTGGTAGTGTAGTGGTAGCTCTGTGTGTGTGTGTGAGGAGTGGTAGTGTAGTGGTAGCGCTGTGTGTGTGTGTGTGTGAGGAGTGGTAGTGTAGTGGTAGCGCTGTGTGTGTGTGTGTGAGGAGTGGTAGTGTAGTGGTGAGCTCTCTGTGTGTGTGTGTGTGAGGAGTGGTGGTGTAGTGGTGAGCTCTGTGTGTGTGTGAGGAGTGGTAGTGTAGTGGTAGCGCTGTGTGTGTGTGTGTGTGAGGAGTGGTAGTGTAGTGGTAGCTGTGTGTGTGTGGAGTGGTAGAGTAGTGGTAGCTCTCTCTGTGTGTGTGTGAGGAGTGGTAGTGTAGTGGTAGCTCTCTCTGTGTGTGTGTGAGGAGTGGTAGTGTAGTGGTAGCTCCGTGTGTGTGTGTGGAGTGGTAGTGTAGTGGTGAGCTCTCTGTGTGTGTGTGAGGAGTGGTAGTGTAGTGGTAGCTCTGTGTGTGTGTGAGGAGTGGTAGTGTAGTGGTAGCTCTGTGTGTGTGTGAGGAGTGGTAGTGTAGTGGTGAGCTCTCTGTGTGTGTGTGTGAGGAGTGGTAGTGTAGTGGTGAGCTCTCTGTGTGTGTGTGTGAGGAGTGGTAGTGTAGTGGTAGCTCTGTGTGTGTGTGTGTGAGGAGTGGTAGTGTAGTGGTAGCTCTCTCTGTGTGTGTGTGGAGTGGTAGTGTTGTGGTAGCTCTCTGTGTGTGTGTGAGGAGTGGTAGTGTAGTGGTAGCTCTCTGTGTGTGTGTGAGGAGTGGTACTGTAGTGGTAGCTCTCTCTGTGTGTGTGTGTGAGGAGTGGTAGTGTAGTGGTAGCTCTCTGTGTGTGTGTGTGTGAGGAGTGGTAGTGTAGTGGTAGCTCTCTGTGTGTGTGTGAGGAGTGGTAGTGTAGTGGTAGCTCTGTGTGTGTGTGTGAGGAGTGGTAGTGTAGTGGTAGCGCTGTGTGTGTGTGTGAGGAGTGGTAGTGTAGTGGTAGCGCGGTGTGTGTGTGTGTGAGGAGTGGTAGTGTAGTGGTAGCTCTCTGTGTGTGTGTGTGGAGTGGTAGTGTAGTGGTAGCTCTGTGTGTGTGTGTGTGTGGAGTGGTAGTGTAGTGGTAGCTCTGTGTGTGTGTGTGAGGAGTGGTAGTGTAGTGGTAGCGCTGTGTGTGTGTGTGAGGAGTGGTAGTGTAGTGGTAGCTCTCTGTGTGTGTGTGTGTGAGGAGTGGTAGTGTAGTGGTGAGCTCTGTGTGTGTGTGAGGAGTGGTAGTGTAGTGGTAGCGCTGTGTGTGTGTGTGTGAGGAGTGGTAGTGTAGTGGTCGCGCTGTGTGTGTGTGTGAGGAGTGGTAGTGTAGTGGTAGCTCTCTCTGTGTGCGTGTGGAGTGGTAGTGTAGTGGTAGCTCTCTGTGTGTGTGTGAGGAGTGGTAGTGTAGTGGTAGCTCTGTGTGTGTGTGAGGAGTGGTAGTGTAGTGGTAGCTCTCTGTGTGTGTGTGAGGAGTGGTAGTGTAGTGGTAGCTCTGTGTATGTGTGTGTGAGGAGTGGTAGTGTAGTGATAGCTCTTTGTGTGTGAGGAGTGGTAGTGTAGTGGTAGCTCTCTGTGTGTGTGTGAGGAGTGGTAGTGTAGTGGTAGCACTGTGTGTGTGTGAGGAGTGGTGGTGTAGTGGTGAGCTCTGTGTGTGTGTGTAGAGTGGTGGTGTAGTGGTAGCGCTGTGTGTGTGTGAGGAGTGGTGGTGTAGTGGTGAGCTCTGTGTGTGTGTGTGAGGAGTGGTAGTGTAGTGGTGAGCTCTCTCTCTCTCTGTGTGTGGAGTGGTGGTGTAGTGGTTAGCGCGCTGTGTGTGAGGAGTGGTAGTGTAGTGGTTAGTGCGCTGTGTGTGAGGAGTGGTAGTGTAGTGGTAGCTCTGTGTGTGTGTGTGAGGAGTGGTAGTGTAGTGGTAGCTCTCTGTGTGTGTGTGTGGAGTGGTAGTGTAGTGGTAGCTCTGTGTGTGTGTGTGAGGAGTGGTAGTGTAGTGGACAGCTCTCTCTGTGTGTGTGTGTGAGGAGTGGTAGTGTAGTGGTAGCTCTCTGTGTGTGTGTGAGGAGTGGTAGTGTAGTGGTAGCTCTCTGTGTGTGTGTGTGGAGTGGTAGTGTAGTGGTAGCTCTGTGTGTGTGTGAGGAGTGGTAGTGTAGTGGACAGCTCTCTCTGTGTGTGAGGCAGCTGGGCACATCGTGTGCCCCGGACTGGCTGGAGCGCTCTCCGCTCGGCCGCTCCTACGTCCTCTCCTTCCTACTCTTCTGCTTCGTCCTGCCGCTCCTCTTCATAGTCTTCTGCTACGGGAGCCTCCTGCGCAGCCTCCACAGGGTGGGTGCAGAGCACTCCCCGCACTAAGATCACCCACGCATATCTAAATGGTCTTTTCGGTAAAGTCACTTAGAGAGAAAAAATAAATAAAAGTGAATAAAAATATCACGACGTTTCGATCCCAACACATGATGACGACCGCTTGTGTTGCGGTCGAAACGTCGTGATATTTTTATTCACTTTATCTTTTAACTTTTTCTATCTACGTGACTTCACCGAAAGAACCAAAGAATATGGATTCCTGCAGTCACGAAAGTTTAAAGTCAAAATCCCCCATACAGCCTTGAACATGATCCCTCAGCACCCATCCCAGATCAGACCTATACTTGCAGCCGTTGTGGCAGGACCTGCTTGTCCTGCATAGGCCTCGTCAGCCACCAGCGTGCCTGCTGAAGACGTGGATGTCCTTCCTAGATCTTCGTTGGCGAAGCCAAGCCATGACGATGGAGTGGCGATGTTTACACACCACACCAGGTACTCATTTGAGGCCGAGTCGACTTACGGGAGGCCCAAGTCAGATCATCGTCACTGGTGTTGGCCGTGAACGGGAATCGAACTTGGGTCGCCGGGTTCGTAGTGCAGCGCGCTAACCCTTGCACTATACCGCTCCCCGATGCAATACTCAAACATACATACAGACATAATCACACACGCATGCACACTCTCTAACATACCTATACGTACATGTATAGTCACGCTAACACACATTCACACAGACACACGCACAAAGAATCAGAACCTTTATTTATTAATCCTGGAGAAATTCAATGAGCTATTGAAGCTCTTTGTCCAGTAGGGGCGGATTAGAAAGTCACAACAACAACAACACAAAAAAACTATCGGAGTTCAAAGTATAGGAAGGGCAAGAAAACCACAAAAAAGAAATTAATCAATAAATAATCTAAAATTCATCTATTTTTATGTTATCAGCTAAAGCCCACTGAGCTATATACATATTTTTCAGGAGCGACCTGGCCACGAAAGAAAGCTCATTGAAGTCGCTGATCACGTGGTAAATCATAGCAGCCAAATACTCTAAACGCACGTTTCTTAAACTCCAATTATAAAGACAACGATCCCCCGTGTAGCTAATTGGGAGATTGTACAACAAAAAAGAGGAAACTATGAGAATATACATTTTTTGTCATCGAGCATCAGGAATATTATGCAAGTGCGGGACATGGGGTTGTGACTTTTAACTGGCTATGATGAAAACAATGATGACAATGTCATCATCGACATGTATTAATGGCTGAGCAATTGTTGATGACCATGATAACAACGATGATGACAATAGATTAATGATGATGATGTTCATAAAAATAACGAAACGATAATGACAATGATGATGCTGATGGCAGGATATTAATACATGATTTCAACGAATTAATTAACAATGACAACCTATTTTGATGATTATGATGGCAAGGATGGTGAAAATGGAAGGTGGACAATGATGATCAGTCGATATCATCTTCTTGGTTCTTTCGGTAAAGTCACGTAGAAGGGAAGTAATAAAATAATAAAAATAAAACATAATAAAACAATTCTCACGACGTTTCGGCCACAACGCAAGCAGCCGTCCTCAGGCGAAGAATGAAACACCACCAAGCTTGGAGCGTATATTTACGCTCCAAGCTTGGTAGAGGGGGGGAGGTGGGAAGAAGAGCGCCTAAACAAAATAAATTGCATATCAAGAGGAATTCAGCATATGGAAAATGCGTAGGAGGTGGGCGGGGGGGGTTCCAAATCAATACTATGCCCGTGCATTATGCAGGATTAGCAGCATCAAAGGGGGGGGGGGGGAGGGGGTAGCATTAACAAAGGAAAGGAATGTTAATAGTATGTAGCTGCAGTTACTAAACAACCACGTAAAAAACTAAAGTATAAACTGCACAAAAAACTAAAGTATAAACTACATAGCATCATCAGTATACTTACTATACTCTACAATAAGCTGAGTTACTAACAGTAAGTAATACATAAAAAAATTTCTACGTTGTAAAAAATTATATAATATGCTTCCATTTAAACTTTATTCTCTTACATCACACGCGTCTATACCGTACTATATACTGCCATAGGCAAACCCAACATTAAATTACATACTGTATTGCTATAAACCACCCTATACCTTATACATTTTAATATAACACTATGTATTATTCTACCCACCCTAATGTGTATCAAAATGGTTTATTACGTCCTTCCAGTGATTGCTAAGCCAGAATCCATCTTCTAGGTTAAAATTGTCTCTGTGTTTGTATATGTGGATCGCCTCATGAACGAATCTCTCATGATAGCCAGATGGCTTGCAGAGAACCTCTGTCTTGGAGAAGTCAATGTCATGTGAGCCCACTGAGTTGTAACAGTGATCTGCCACGGCTGAGGTGTTTGTCCTACCGTGTTTCAGGGCAGCTTTATGTGTTCACGGATGCGGTCCGAGACATGTCGTTTGGTTTCCCCAATGTAACTGCTACCACAGAGGCAACTTAGTTTGTAGACACCAGGGTACTGTATGTCTGGAACCACATCTTTTACAGACGGTACCAGATCACGGATTTTATGTACTGTGTTGAATCGGACCTGGATCTTGTGTTTAATCAGGATTTTGGAGATCTTTTTTGTGACCCCAGCAATGTAGGGTAAGGTGATGGTCTTGAAAGGCTCCTCAACAGGATCCTTCTTGATGGTTGGAGTGATGGCTTTGCGGATTGTGTAGTCGGAGTAACCATTAGCCTTAAGAGCTTGGCGTACGTGTTTGAGTTCACTGGAAATGTGTTCATGGTCGGAGATGCATTGGGCTCTATGATATAGAGTCTTGATGAGGGAATTCTTCTGGGATGGATGGTGGTGGGAATCCGGTTTTAGATAAGCATCCGTGTGGGTGGCTTTCCTGTAGACAGAGTGGCTCATTGAACCATCAGGTCTCCTTTTGAAAAAAGATCGGTCGATAATTATCATTGCACACGCAGACAAATACGAAGATCCCGATCCCCCCCCCCTCATAGCCTGAACAGACGGTGGTGTAAAGTGTTGTTAGCGAGCACCTATGAAGATCGGCACGGCCCACAAGAACACGTGTACAGTCCTTTTTGTATTCAGTCAGCCCTTACCGCCTGCCTGATAGGATTGCTTTTCCCAATTGCATTTGTGACCCTGCTGAGAGCATCAAACAAGAAGAGGGTCTCTTATGTCTTGAAGTTGTTGCTCTGACACGTTCGTGACATATACTGGCCACCACGCTTCGATACAATTGCACTGCAATGTACAATGTACTATAACAAACATGCCCTCTTGCAAACTGAGCACGCATTGTGCACATTTCACGGTGTGTGAATACGGAACAGGACACAGACGTGTACACATCTTTGTTCGCGGTGAATTTCGACATTTTTTTCCACCAACTGCGTTTTATTTTATTTTTAAATTATCGTCTTTTTTTCTAGTTTTCTCGTTTTTTTACAGTTGTATCTCAAATGTGCAATGGGCGTTGTGGTGAGGGACAAAAAAAAACTCTTGCGAGATTCATTCCGAGAGAACAGCCCTCCGATGAGGCGAAGTGATCTCAGAAGTAGTTTCTATCTTTGATGGATTCAAACCTCGGATTTCAGCGGTGCCAGTGCAGAGTGCTGGTACTTCCCGAGGAGGTGGCTCAATGGATAGTTCAGAGGTCAGAGCGCTGAGCTGACACTGCCGACACCTGAAGGGTGGTTGGTGATGGCTGTGCACGTGGCCTGTGATCCAGCTCTGTGGAGGCAGTGAGGGTTGCCGGCTCGCACAAATCTTGTGAAACTTCCTTCCTGTGTGCACAGAGGCACCATACCCCCGGCTTGCCACGTGAAGGCGGTACGGCAAATGTGGACTCCCACCTGTTCCATTTGTACGGTGATAGCGTTGCCCCCTCGGATGTGTGGATTTTCTCCGGATGCTCCGGTTTCCTCCCACATGTAAAACACTCATTAATTGGCCGGTAACACCTTTATATATAGAGGATCGCAGAGCTTGGTTTGGGGGGGGGGTTATTTGGTGTCAGCTCACTGCCTGGCTGCCTTTCCGTGCTTGTCGGTGGTTCCTCGCGCCTCTAAGTCACTCTGTCTTCGAAAGCGAGCAAATGCTGTACGGTGTGGTACGTTGAAATTATTATATCAGGAATCTCAGAGGGCGATGATATTCGCTTCCGTGGGCTGTTCTCGAACGTGAAGGGTTGCTTTGCCCTGCGAGAGATCTCAATGGGTTATTATCACGGGTCAGTTCAGTTCATGTATTAGGTAGAGCCCTGTGAGCCATGCGGCTCTTGAATCGGGTGCCACCGCAACAAACACAAACATGAATAAGAAACATCTTAAAGTGACTACGCACAACAGAATAATCCAGGAAAAAACAGCAAAGTCTTCCAGAAAAAGCACCGCATATCAACGCTGTGTGCAAAAATCCCAGTGGGATGCAAGTCAAACAATAACAACCATAAGACAATTTAGATGAAAGTTATCAGTCCAACTCTGTACTACAACAAACAAATACGGTGATGCTGATGGTGCAATTTGGAATAAAAAAAAAGACAGAAAAAGACAAAAAAAAGAGCAGAAAACCGCGAGTGCGGTGGGTTGTCCCTGTGGTGGTGCCTCGCACAGCCAAACCACTCAGAACAGAGGGGCACTCGCCCACCCTGGCGGCCAGGCAGCCGAGCGGCATGCTTGCTGTCCGTTCAGCGGGCTTCTCGCATGTCCACGGCTCATTTCCCGCAGCCGTTGCGCAGCCATTCACGCAGAGGACAACCACTGCTTGACTTATATTCTTAGGTTTTTTTCGGTAAAGTCACGTAGGTAAAACATTAAAATTAATAAAAGTAAAATAAAAGAAAAATCACGACGTTTCGGAGGCAACACAAGCTTCCGTCTTCAGGTGGAACCGTCACAGCCACGACAGCTGTATCAAGTAAATGAGAGATTGCAGAAGCTACCACTCCGTTTATAAAATGGTTGGGGAGGGGGGGAAGGGCCAAGTACAGCACACTTTTTATTCATACGGCAAGGTGAGGCTTAAGAGGGTGAGCCTTTGTTATGGAGAGGTACGGTTTGAGACTCAACCTGGCCTACCTAACAATAGTGTGAAAAGGAGAAAACAACTAAACATGGTTATTTTATTTTACTTTTATTAATTGTAATGTTTTACCTACGTGACTTTACCGAAAAAACCTAATAATAGGAATCCTTGCAGTCACGAAAGCTTAAAATCTAGAACTGCTGCGGTACAATAGTGAAAATACAGTCGTAGTGATACTAATCATAATTTACGGCTCCTTTGGTCAATCCACTGCTGGATGAATGCCTTCGCACATCTCACTGGTGTTTGACAATACATTTCCAGTTCCAGTTGCTTGCTGCATAGTGGCATCCTGAGCTTGATTGCCATCCACGGCTAACATCAGTGGCGAGTGACATCTGAACCGGTTCTGGGACGTCCCTTTCACCAACACGCGCGGTGAAACAAACTTACGTGATCGTCACGACACAGGGGAAGCTTTCATCCAGCGTGGGACTGGCAAAGCGCTGAAATGATTACCGTCGTAAATGATGATGATAATTGGAAATACATTTAGGGGAAGCGTTCGCTGTTAAAGCTGTTCTAATTGATTCTAGATTTGAAGCTTTCGTGACTGCAAGAATTCATATTGTTAGGTTTTTTCGGTAAAGTCACGTAGGTAAAAAAAATTTAAAATTAATAAAAGTAAAATAAAATAAAAAATAAAATAAAAATCACGACGTTTCGGAGGCAACACAAGCTTCCGTCTTCAGGTGGAACCGTCACAGCACGCTTGCTGTATCAAGTAAATGAGAGATTCCAAGAGATACTATCCCGTATATATACTGGTTGAGGGGGGTGGGGGATGGGCCAGGACAGGCCCCCTTTTTAAATCCTTTATATTAAGTTCACTTGCTTGCTTGCTTGCTTACGACCGTGCAAACCTTTCGGTCGTTTTTTAACCCACTTCCCGTGATCCAATCGAGCTGACATTTTGCACACAGACTCGTTGTGCGAGACAATTAATGTTCGTGAAATTTTTTTTCCAACATTTTACACTGTTTAGGGAAAACAAATTAAATATTTAATTAACAATTGTTTAATACTGCAGACAATCATCTGACCCATAGGTGGCAGCCATCTCAAGCCAGAGGACGAGAGGACTCTAGCCGCCACGCATATAAAGGATTTAGAGTGAAAAACTTTGTTTTTACGGGTTATACTTATTATTATCATGGTAAGGTGCGACTTGAGACTACGGCTGTTCTAATTGGGCTGCCTACCGCCACTCCTGCCACCCATGGCAGGCGTCGCGGGTCAAGTACAGCGTGACGCAGCGAGCCGAGCAGCGCGTCGGGGTCATGGTGCTGCTCATGATCGTGGCGTTCCTCTTCTGCTGGCTGCCATACGCCGCCTGCGCGCTCGTGGTCATCTTCCAGCCCGGCATCCAGGCGAGTCTCGACATGGCCGGGCAAAGTCGTACCCCCCCCCCCCCACCCCATTGCTTGGGTCACATGCACCTCCAGTGTTCGTATCTGTGCGTGTGCGTGTTGTGGGGCGTGGTGCTGGCCACGTCCGGCAAAAACAACCGCCTACCTCCTCAGTGGTGCCGGATGGTGACGCTATGATGGATGTTAGCGATGACATGGAGAGAAGGCCAATTCCAAAATCGGCCATTCCCCTCATCGCGCTTGTAGTCACCACCAGCAGCCAAATGGGGGCTCTGGATGGGTGCGAGGGGCTGGTAACCCCTCCATCTTCAATTTAGTTACCACAAAACCACGTGAAAAATATGTAGCAAAGCTTGTGCCGAAGGCTGCGGGGCTACAGGCGTCTATGACGTCTTCTGGGGTTCCTCCAGAAACAGCCAAAAGCCACTGTGAGTGGCCACATGGAATGTTTGAACGCTCACTGCGGAGGAGAGACCTCTGACTGCAGAGGTCTCGCTCTGAATCAGTCGAGCGGCATTATCTTTTCATCGGCTGCGTAACGCTGTGTGGAAACTACCTGGTTTGTCGCTCCACACGAAGGTTTGGGTCTTCTCGGTCACGGTCATGTCCTCCTTTCTCTATGCTTGCGAAGCGTGGACCCCCCTAATGGAGCATCTTCGCCGGTTAGAAACATTTAGGCTGGCCTGCCTGCAATCCATCCTGGGTTTAGCCAGGCTGAATTGTGTGAGAAGTTCACAAGTCCTTGAAAGATCGGGACAAAGTCCAATCGGTGAGCTCCTCTGGCAGGCAAGGCTGCGTTGGCTGGGTCATGTAGCCCACATGTCCAGCCACCGCTAGCCTAAACAGCTTTGTTCGGCTGGATAGAGGGGGCTAAACGGGCACGGCACGGGCTAGAGAAGAGATGGAGTGATCAGCGGTGTCAAGATCGGCCTCTGTGGAGGAGGCTCATGAAGGACGCGACTGGGCAGTTGGAGGCAGTCGCCCTCCAGCAACAACAGAGGGCAGAGGAGTGACCACTCACAACAACGAGTGGCACGCCGAGTGGCTAAAACACAGCAAGTTGGCACAGTGGGGGGCACAGATGGTGCATCGCCAGTCATCTCAGTCAGTCAACCCATGGCACCTGGGTCTGTCCCGTGATCTCCTGCCAGCGGGTGTTCGACACTTCACGTGGCCTCAACGCGCACATAGCCTGGCACAAGCGCCGTGGTAACGGTTGTTGTTGGTGCTGGCCACCCACCCCCTCGTGTATCGTGCCAGCCTTCATAGGTGCTCCCTAACAGCACTTGACCCAACAGTTAAAGGCTCCATACTCTTTGGTTCTTTCGGTAAAGTCACGTAGGTAAAAAATAATAATTATTGTAAATAATACTTTTTTTCCCCATCTACGTGACTTTACCGAAAGAACAAAAGAGTATGGATCCTTGCGGTCACGAAAACTTCAAATCTAGAGTTAAAGGCTGCACGGGGGATGTTTTGATTGGTTAACAATGTGCCCTAGGAAATGCCCATGTCATTTTGATGGTTGGAGTCAAACCCAAAGAATAGTCGGCCCCCTACAGAGCCTCAGTGTTCATTTAGTAAAATAACATATTTGCTAAAGTTGTTCCACATACTTTAGAGAACAAATACTGCCGTCTATTGCCTGGTTCAGACAAGTTTCATTAACAAGTGCTGTAGATATTTTCTTCTCATTACACGTACTCTCTTCAATGCCAGTGCTCACTGCCAGACCTCTTGCACCATGGCTTATGTAATCGACCTGGTTTCTGAAAAGGCTTTGATCGGGTGGAATGGCCTCTCCTGCCAGCAGCTGTGCACAGGTGCACAATAAAAAGAGCCAGCCCTGGATTATTAACCATAAATAAGCGCCATCTGATTTGCAGCGGACGTTAAAGATCTCCTGACGTTATTAAAAAAACGTGGAGGCACTATGTGTGCCTGCGTAACAGTCCAAATTTTCCACGTGTGAAAGTTACTCGCCTGCTGCAGCGCACGCGTCGTGATGGGTGCTGCAAGATCCGACCGCGTCCGCCCAGTGCTCGCTGAGTTACATTATAAGTCGCACTCATTACACACAAAGTGCTTGCCACAAATGAACCTCAACACCTTGCTGATTTCGTCAAGCAGCACAAACCATCACGCAAACTCCGTTCATCCTCGCAGCGGCTTTTGGCTCGTCATTGAACAAGGACGGTCACTGCATCGCACACTTTCGGATGCACTTCTGCGGCCGTCTGGAACGCTCTCCCATCCGATACTAGGAAGCCACTGCAGCTATGCACTTTTAAATCACCTGGATTGAAAATTCGTTTCTTTAATACCGATTCTTGTGTCTAGTTTGTTGTCCTTCCACCGCACCTCCTATTAGCGTGATTGGCTACGTCCGGGTGCGAAAGAAGTTTAACATACAGTACTTTGCAAAGCGCTCGGTAATCGGACCCGCCGGTTCCTTCTCTCGTACAGCTCAGCCCCCTGGCCGCGTCCATCCCCCTCTACGCAGCCAAGTCGAGCACAGCCTACAATCCCATCATCTACATCCTCCTCAACCGCCAGGTGACCACCGCACAGCGAGCGTTCACTCTCGCCCGTTGCGGCAAGGTGAGAGGGTGGGGCTGCCACACCTGTCCTGGTCTTCCCAGGAACGTCGTCGTGGGAAAGCCGTGAGTCTTCCACGGTTTTTGTCAGTTTAGTAGCAATAACGCACCACTCAAGGCGATGCGTTCACACGCAGCTGTGCCATCTTCTGGAATTGTGAGATGATCTTCTTCTCATGATATGTCCTGGCTATATTGTGCCTCAGAGTTGGCAAGAGGTCTAGTTGGAGAGCTTAGATTGATGCTCCTGCTGTTGTGGAGTGGCTCATGCAGCCAGCTATGGCTGCAGGTTTTTGGTAGTACATGTTTATGCCATTTATTGTGAAAATTCCGTCACAGTTCCTATGATTGCTTTTTCATTGCTTTCATGGCTTTATTTTGGTGATTTCGAAAAGTGTATTGATTTAGCCATGTTTGTTTGTTGTAGTACAGAGTTAGACTGATGGCCTTAATCTAAGTTGTCTCATGGTTGTTGTTGTTTGACTTGCATCCCACTGGGATTTTTGCACACAGCGTTGGTGTACGGTGCTTTTTTCTGCAATATTTTGCTGTCTTTTCTTGGATTTTCTGTTTGCACTTAGTCACATATTCACTTTAAGATGTTTTTTGTTCCTGTTTTTGTTTTTGTTGCGGTTGCACCCGATTCAAGAGCCGAATTGCTCACAGGGCTACACCTAATAAATGAACTTGAACTTGAAGATATGTGAGGAGAGAATTCCAGGCTAAGGATGAGGACATCTGTGAAAAAGAACTTTAGAGCTTATCGGATTCCTCCACTATAAATACATATTCTGATTCTGAGGCCCAGGTTACAGGGGGCTTGACTGCCACTCTACGGAACGAGTGTAGCACAGGCAAAATCTTTAGAATAAATGCTTTTTTTTAATCCTTTATATTAAGTTCACTTGGTTGCTTGCATGCTTACGACCGTGCAAATCTTTCAGTCGTTTTTTAACCCACTTCCCGTGATCCAATCGAGCTGACATTTTCCACACAGACTCGTTGTGCGTGACAATTTATTTTCGTGAAATTTTTTTTCCTAAATTTTACACTTTTTAGGAAAAAAAATTCATATTTAATTTAAAATACCAATGTGATAAAAATGAAACTCTTACTCAAGAAAAACAAATGAATAATAAAATAAAACCGATGCCACGCATATAAAGGATTTATAGTGAAAAACTTTGTTTTTACGGGTTAATTATTTGCCAATGAGGACTCCTGTTGTACGTAGATTTTGAGATCGTCAGAGCTAATCCAGAATGAGACTGCATTGAGGCAGTTTGAGAGAACGGTGACGAGGGCCGCGTACGGTCAACCAAGCCATAGCAGTGCCGAGCATCGCCAGCTTAGAAACGATGATCGGCATTGAACACCTGCAGACGATCTTCCTGTGGGAGATGTATGTTGAACTTCTTTCGCACCGTACGTAGCCCTCTTTTTATTCTGTTCTTCCTCCGATAAGCACGGTTGGCAACGTACGGTGCAAAAGAAGTTCACCGTACGTACGTAACACGTCGCACAATATTCACTCACTCTCAAAGAGAGAGACCGATGATGGACCATGGACAAGCAGGAAGGCAGCCACGCTGGCACCAACAATTGTCCATGTTCTGCAGTTCTCGAAATATTAAGGTGTTATCATAATTGTTTTTTTACTCTTCTATCTGGCAACAAAACTGACACCTTTTTTTACAAGGAGTCATGTTTGCATAGACCACAATACCTGCAGCCATAATGCAAACGAAAAACATAACTCTGATGATATATGCACTGTCCTTGAAGTTTTGTTGCCAGATAGAAGGGTAAAAAAACTATTATCATATTTTTTACTGGCAAATGAGGTTCCAATGGTGTAAAGGTGTTTTCAGTCAATTAATTAATCTTTACATGTGGGAGGATACTAGCGCCAGCACCCGGAGAAACCCCATGTGTGCGATGGGGAAACGCTCGATCCCATACAGACAGAGCAGGTGCAGTCCACATCTTTGCTGTACAGCACTGCCTTCTTCTGGTGAGCCACGATACAGCACCTCCCAACGCGCGCGGGAAGGGAGTTTCACAACATTTGTTCGATCCACCAACCATCGCCTCTAACTGCATGTATGTATAACTTCTTTCGCACCGTACGTAGCTAGCCGTGGCTAATCGGAGGTGTGCCTGAATAGCGTGCTAAGCCACCACCATCACCACCAACCCGCCAGATAAAGAGAGCGACAGAGGAAAGACACCGCTAATCCGTGCGTGGCACGCGGCCTCTGCCCCCCCCCCACCACCACCCTACTCCCCGGTTGCGTTCCACACACAGTTTCGCGAACACATCCACTGCATGCTGTGCAGATCACGGAAGCCGCCAAAGCCAGATGTGGGGAGAGCCGCGCACGGGAGGAGGGAGAACGACGCGGTGTCCCAACTGTGACCGCACTCTGCCACGACGCCTGTCCTGTCGCCGCTGCCCACGCTCGTGTGTTCGCTCCGGCCAGCTGTGACCCTCGCATCTCTCTCGCTCGCTCGTTCGCTCCGTGTGCGTTGTTAATGCCTCGCCTTGGTCTGCCACCCAGTGTATGTGTGCCCCGAGGTTGTATAAAGTCATTCCCTCGTTATTCGCGACGGGTACGTTCCGGGGATGCTCGTGAATAATGATATTGGCCCGACGAAAACCTATCTTTTTCATGAATTGAGGTCTGAGAATTTCTCTCTCTCTCTCTCTCATCTCTTTCTCTCTTCACTTTGTCGTCACATTCTCTCTCATCACTTTCTTTCTCTCTCTTGAGGCAGTCGTGTAGAGTTCCAGATGCAATTCGCTGCTAGCAAGTTCCTGAATAACGAGGGGATACTGTACATGTCAGCATGTTATAGCTGTGATGTGCGCTTATAGCCTGAATAGTGTTTATATATATTTAATACGTTTTAAGCGCTATATTATACAAGTGTGGTGGATAGTTCATTGCCTTGACTTCACAGTAAATAAATATTGTTTGGTGTATTTTCATTTGTTCAACAATATACATAACTTAAGTGTATCTTCGTGCTAAACTGTCACAGCATTGTATTTGACATTATGATGATGATGAGTTGATAGGTATGGTTCACAGAAGACACGTGATGGTTTACAAATTAAACTACCTCATTGATATCGCCTGTCCTGTCGCCACGTGTTACGATTACGCGAGGAACGATGCAGCGATTCAAGGGTGAAATGAAATTCTCGCGCACGATGCACGCACTAAGTGGAGCTATATATGGAATTGGTGTCCACGGTGGCGAGATGTTAACTACCTCGGCCGGTATACAGAGAGGAGCTCGTGGATTTGATCCCAACCCTGACGCCTGTATATTTGGAGTTTGCATGTTCTCCCCGTGGTCGCGTGGATTTTTATCTGGGTCTTCCCGTTTTTTTCCTCCACATTTAGAATCAACATGCATTTAGTGCATTTGGCTGCTCTTTGTGGCCAGATCGCTCCTGAAAAATAGCTAAATAGCTCAAAAGACCTTACCTGGTAAAATAATAGTTTCGTTGATAGTTATTGTAGTTCATGTGATCCTACAGCCACTGGAGGCGCTACAGTGTGCCAGAATGTGTTTGTATTTTCCCAACAATTCTACGGTATCTCAACAATAGTACTGTCGGTGTCGTGAGACCAAGTCATCCGTTCGCAACGGCTCCCGGTAGCAGATACCACAGAGCCACCGTTGCCACTCAAGAGCAGTTAGTGTTTGCTGCGTGACGGTCAAGCGAGACTAGAATTTTGAAACTTAATTTGGAGCTTTCGTGACTGCAGGAATTACTCTTTGGTTCTTTCGGTAAAGTCACGTAGAAAGATAAAATAATAAATTAAATACGACGTTTCGATTGCAACACAAGCAATCGTCATCAGGTATAAATGAAATAGAAACACAAATCTAGTATACTTAGAAATGTAATGTAATACAACAGAATTTTGCCAAATTTAAATGCGGTCACGTGCTTTAAGTGATTGGGGGGAGGTGGTCATGCAGTCGTTGGTGTGTGGGCTGAGACCATTGATTGTGGGACTGCCGGGATTCGGAACCAGGATCTCAGTGATGCCACCTCGGCGCTCTGAACCGCCTGGCCGCATCCTATCGTTTAGTTTCGCATTGTATGGAATTAGTTCAAGTGGGCCCTGCAGCCACTAGAGGGGCTCTAGTGCACCACGATGTTAAAAGTAGATGTGATTGTTTTATGAAACCGTGACGCTAAAGCTTGATAAGTCGTTGAAACTATTAACTTTTTTTTTACCAGGTAAGGCCCACTGAGCTATATAGATATTTTTCAACCTGGCCACACATCATAGCTCAACGGGGTGCCCGGGGGGGCAACGAATGAGGTAAATGAGCAATGCACGAGCCCATGGGAGGGCGCCAGAGGCATGCCAAGGATTGACTGTCACTCGATATTTTTTTAAATCCTTTATATTAAGTTTGCTTGCGTGCTTGCTTGCTTGCTTGCGTGCTTGCTTGCTTGCTTAGGACCGTGCAAATATTTCGGTCGTTTTTTAACCCACTTCCCGTGATCCAATCGAGCTGACATTTTCCACACAGACTCGTTGTGCCAGACAATTAATGTTCGTGAAAAAAAAATTCCCAAAAATTTACACTTTTTAGGCAAAAAAAAAATGATTTTACATATATTCAAATAGAACGCATGCATGGCTTTGGCTGAACGTCAGAGTGTAAGAGCCCAGAGCGTAACCCTTCCACAGGCCGTGGCGGAGTAGCGCAGTTGGTAGTGCCCTCGCTTCCCATGCCAAAGGTCGCGGGATCGATCCCCGTGTCCTCCACAGGCGAATATATTTTTAAATCCTTTATATTAAGTTCGCTGCCACGCATATAAAGGATTTATAGTGAAAACTTGTTTTTACGGGTTATACTTATTTGGGGTTAGATCGCGTAAATATATATGTTGGCTGTGTCGGGTGGTGGCGGGTTTAACGACAAATGTATATATTTACGACATCTAACCACAAAAAAACATCTGTATTATGGATGATATTGGTCGCGTAAGCCTACGTGTTAAATTGATTGTCACTCTCAACAAAAAAAATATTTGTTGTTAATTCCAGGTAAGGCCGACTGAGGTATATCGCTCTTTGTCAGAAGCGACCTGGCCACCAATGATCGCGCAACGAAATGGCGTCTCATCACGTGGTCATTTATAGCGGCCAGATCCTCTAAACCCACGTTTCTAAATGTGGAGGGAAAACTCAGAGGACCCGGGGAAAATCCAATCAACCACGGGCATCAGGGTCGGGATCGAACCCACGACCTCCTGTATACAAGGCGAGGTAGTTAACATTTCGCCACCGCATTGAATCGCAAGAGGGGCAAATCATCAACCTAATAAACAAACATGAGGTGGCTCAGCAGTATGAGTCGGTGACTTGCCACCAGAAGGGCATGAGTTCAAATCCTGCTAGGGGGCTGACTCAACCCATCATCATTCCGGGGTCGATACCATAAATACCTTACAACTTTTTGGGGACATCCAACAATGGTTGTCCTATGGATATACTCACCCCCGCCGTAGGAATGTGGAATTTCCACCAGTATCACAGGGCTGAAATAAGAGATGAGCAACGCCTGAATGATCGCGTCAGCAGATCGCTTCGAATTTTTTTCTTACTTCAAATGGGGTAAACAACACTCGGCGAATGGAGAAGGGCATTAGAGTCACCCATAATTAATTTTTGCACCAGGCATAGAACAATTGTCAACCAAAGAAACCCATGAGGTAGCCAGCTGGTTTAAGGGGTCCTATGCCATGCAGGTATCGTGGCACAGAGCCATTGCGGCTGAGATTCAATTTCAAGGCGCCCACTCACGATTAAACCGGGTCGGCATGGCATCTCGTATGTCACAGGTTGGATACACTCAGCCCGCTCGCCAACCCTCCTGCAAAAGTATGTGCTGTGCATTTATCAAAATCAAAGCCTGACCACATACAATAGAGCCCTTGCTGAAAAGCAATGATATAAGGCAATGCCAACGGTCGTCAACCACTCCATGGCTTCCAATGACATTGAGTGATTCAAGGCTGTTCCCTCTCGTGAATAACCTCAGATGACATTATCGGATCTCTTCAATGTCCCTTGGTTTGTGGATGTCTTCACAGCCACATATCGGGCTGTCCCTCATTCCCCATTTCAGAAGCAGCTGATTGCAGCACTCACGAGAGGTGCTGATGCGGTGCACCGTGACCCACACCTCACGTGGCACGGTAAAGCCACGTGCTTTGTGGGTCCGTGAATGGGCGGTGATTTTTGATCAGGCTGGTTTTTTTCCCCCACAGGCGTGGCTGATCCAAGAGGGGGCGATGTTTTAGAATGTAGAGCCATACTCTTTGTTTCTTTTGTGATTTGTTTTATTTTATTTCTAACTACGTGACTTTACCGAAAGAACCAAAGAGTATGGATTCCTGCAGTCACGAAAGCTTCAAATCAAAAATGTAGAGCCATACTTTAAAAAAAGCTTAAAATGTACAGGCTGACACCACCAACAAGGAAGAACCCAGTTTAATCGCAGGTGGCTGTCCGGATGTGAACCCTGTGTTCAGTGTGTCAGCTCCAAAATTCCGAACCACCGAAGCAGCTCTAAGCAATCTGGCCACCAAAATTGATTGATATATTCGAATGAGCGGTGCACATTGTGACAAGACACCTGTGAAGATGCACTGGCCGACGATAACGATGACCATATTAGGGAGAAGGGCCGTGATTGCAACTTCGTGATGACGCGGTCTGGAGAAATGTCTTGTGTCACTTGTTACAGGCCAGCGCGTGCGACATCCCAAGCCACAACCCGAAACCAAATATCATTTCGCAACGATTGACCAAAACACTCCACAGAGCCACCACCGAAATCTCTTCCAAGTGACCTTGGTCTCGAGTCACAACTCACCCCTATGTTTACGGAACATGACCACGTTCCTTATACGACTCAAGTTTTTCAAGTTTCAAGTTTCATTTATTAGGTATAGCCCTGTGAGCCATTCGGCTCTTGAATCGGGTGTAACCGCAACAAACAAAAAAAACAAAAATATGAACAAGAAAACATCTTAAAGTGACTATGTGCCAACAGAAAATCAAAGAAAAGACAGCAAAATATTACAGAAAAAGCACCGTACACCAACACTGTGCAAAAATCCCAGTGGGATGCAAGTCAAACAACAACAACCACAAGACAACTTAGATTAAGGCCATCAGTCTAACTCTGTACTACAACAAACAAACATGGCCAAACCGAAAAACGTTTCAAAAATCACCAAAACTGTGACCGAATTTTCACAATAAACGAAGTAAACAACATGTACACTACTACCAAACTCTGCAGCCATAGCTGGCTGCATGAGTCACTCCACAACAGCAGCAGGAGCATCAGTCGGAGTGTCAACACTTTTCAATGCACATCAGAAGTCAGACGCGCCTGAAGGACCGGCAAGTATGAGACGTAAACGCGTGAGTAAGCTTTGCACGCCCAAAACAGGAAATTGTGGCATCCTCTGACGGCATAAAGTCAAGCCAATTCTATTTTTGCTCACACACGCCGCCGCCTTTCGAGCACAAAATCCGCCACTCAAAGCGGCCATCGTCACATTGATACTCATAAACACAGAGCATTTTATTTTACGAGTAAACTCATTTAATATGTACCGTATAATACATACTCTTAGTTCTTTCAGTTAAGTCACTTTACCGAAAGAACGAAGAGTATGAATCCTTGCAGTCACGAAATCTTCAAATCTAGAACCGTATAATACAGTTGTTTAAAATATACAAGTATTAGAATAAAAGCAAGCTGCGGTTGTGAGTTAGTCGTTATCGCCACAGCCACCGCCGTCACCGCCCTTCATTTCGGGGAACTCTTGGGCCGTGGCACACAACAAGAAGGGAAACGGGACAGTGCTGGCCCTTGTGTGGGCTCCCAAAAAAACACACACGAGGGAGATTAGGGGACAAGGCCGTAGCCATGGAGTCAACATTGGGGGGGGGACTAAATCTTCCAGGGTGTCTGGGGATCCCAACCCAGAAAAAATTAACCCGTAAAAACAAAGTTTTTCACTATAAATCATTTATATGCGTGGCGGCTAGAGTCCTCTCGTCCTCTGGCTTGAGATGGCTGCCACCTATGGGTCAGATGATTGCCTGCCACCATTAAGCAATTGGTAATTAAATATAAAAAACATTTTCCTAAAAAGTGTAAAATTTTGGAAAAAAATTTTCACTAAAATAAATTGTCACGCACAACGAGTCTGTGTGCAAAATGTCAGCTCGATTGGATCACGGGAAGTGGGTTAAAAAACGACCGAAAGATTTGCACGGTCGTAAGCGCGCAAGCAAGCACGCAAGTGAACTTAATATAAAGGATTTAAAAATATCTACATTTGAAAACTAATTTTCTGCCTAAAATAATAAAAAATTCACTAACACATCGGATGGACTTTTTATTTCTTTTTTACAATAAAGTCTAATAGTGTATTGTATTACATTGCTCTGGTTTTTCTTTTTTTACCTTTCTTGTTTCATTGTAATGGCAGAGATTAGGGATGAATAAAGTACAACCATAACCACAATCATATAAACAGAAATACATTTTATAGCGATATATTGGGGGGGGGGGGAATTTTGAGCATATTTTAATATTGGGGGGGGGGGGGTATGTTTATCCCCCAATATATATATTATAGTTACGGCCTTGGTGCACAATCGCAGAATGCCAGAAAGGTCCTGTTTTATACACCGGGGCTGTATTGCAGTCCAGCGATTGATTCGACACGTCTGCATTGCATCATCGTGGACTGCAGCTGTCCCGTGTTGTGGCAAAGGGCGTGTGATGAGGATGCGCATCGTCGATGCAACAGGTGATTTTGTTGCACAACATTAATGGTTGACACCTCATCAATGTATCTTTTATTCTACCATGTACGATTTATCACCGACGTGACACTTGTTATTTTCTCACAATACCCTCACCATGTTCTGTATACAGCTCAGATGTAGCACATGGTGAGAGGGTATTCATACCTGTCAACCCCTTGTCAGCACCCTATCTTATTACAGACCAATTCAGACCCTGATTGGTCACCCCGTGCCCTTAATCAATTTCAACGTTCATCCTACAAGTGCCATCACAAGGGTGGAACAAATCTTGACTTAAAGCTTTCGTGACTGCAGGAATTCATATTCTTTGGTTCTTTCGGTAAAGTCACGTAGATAGAAAATAATAAAAAGGTAAAAAAAAATCACGACGTTTCGATCGCAGCACAAGCGAGCGTCCTCAGGTGAACAAATACATCTTGTAACTCAATTTTAACGCACTTCCCAATGTGGCATCTACTACAAACTTGGTATACTTGTTATACTGATGTCAATACTATATTCTATCAAAAAATGTTTTTAAACAATGTTTTTTATATGTTATGTTTCGGCTTGGGTCTAATTGTCTACGCTCAACTGACGTTGGCTGTAAATCACCACGGTCCCTTACGTTATGGCAAGCTTCGGGGCCACTTCTTGGAGTTCTTCCATTACTAGTAGGGTACATTTCATTAAAGCGTGTTTAAAAAAAAAGTATTTTTAGATATTACTTATGTTCTGGCTGGAAAATGTAAACAGAGTACGTATGTTTAAAAGTGTGCCGGTGAATATTGATAGGTCTTACATGTATGTTTTCGCGATCAAGATTATTATTCAGAATTGTTTCTTGAATAAGTCCACAAGTTTACAAACGGCAGGCTTTTATTAAATTAGACTGGAAGTTGCCATCCCAGTTGCCCACAAGGGGGAAGATGCGATCATATTAGACCATTTTTTGGGCACCTTAATCGGATGAATTGTTGGTGTCTTCCATCGGATAAGGTGGGAGGCTATCGGGCGGAAGTGAGAATTAAATGGGAGATGGAAACATTTGAATTTGTTGGAGGGGAGTGAGAGCAGAGGCAGGTAAAGATTAGCGCATGGGCCAGGAGTTTGGCGACAGAAAGTGAAATTAGGGAGTAGATTTTCGTGATATTCATTAGAGGAAAGCGGCACATGCGAGGCGATGTGGGTATAAAAAGTGAGACGAGTCAAAGGTGACACCCATTTAAATCTTATAACTCCTGGACATCCGTGAAAGGAGAAAAAAATATGATAATTGTTTTTTTTACCCTTTTATCTGGCAACAAAACTGACACCTTTTTTTACGAAGAGTCATGTTTGCATAGACCACAATACCTGCAGTCATGGTCTATGCAAACATGACTCCTCGTAAAAAAAGGTGTCAGTTTTGTTGCCAGATAAAAGGATAAAAAACCAATTATCATATTTTTTTACTGGCAAATGAGGTACCAATGGTGGAGAAAAAAACAGGTTTAGTACCACTAACCAAAACCATTTCATAATCCATTCACTGCTGGATGAAAGTCTCCCGATGTGCATCGCTCAATCCATCTCGCTTCTGCACGTGCCGATTTCATCAATCACCACGGCGGTCTTCCTCTCGGGAGCGGTTTCGTCCATCGGCTGCCACTGCGTCACTGGTCTCGACTGTGAGTCTCCATCGATAAATAATTTGTTAACCTGCCGACCAAGTGATGCAGCCGCACTGGTAGAGCAAAGATGTGAACGACCGCAGAGGGACGATTGCCCGAATTAACTCACCACGCTGGGGTTTGCGGTTCGATTTTAGACAGCCACCGTTTTATTACTGTGGAAATTAACCCTACAAATACGCTCCATACGCTTATCAGTGGACTTTAACCCCCCCTCGCCCCGTGTGCCAGCGTCATTATCCAAATTAACACAATCAGCCGCAAATAACTCAATTCGAATTACACAACATCGTTCCCTACTGGCAGACTATGTAAATCTGTAGCGCATAGCACCGTTGTGATAGCCGTGCTACAAGAATGGCATGAATACCAAATGTACTAAAACTAAAGCATTTTGACTTCATAAGCGAATGTACATGTGCATCCCCCCCTTTTGCAGGCCATTGAGGTTATCTGAGCGCTGGTCAGTGTGGGTTGGTGAAAGTGAGTATAGGCAATACGAATGAGACTGCAAATGATGCAATTAGTACACTGCCAAGTACAAATCACACAATTTACATCACAAATGGAAAAACATTGCAATCCAGGTATACAATGACACGGTATAGATAAGACAGCCATTGATCATTATTTCTGGTCTAAGTTGATTTTACTCAAGATTTCTATTTGCTCCACTGTACTTGGTTTAACTTTTTGGCAAATAAGACATGCTCGTCTCGAGTTCTCACCAGGTAATACAACAAAGCGAAAAACTTTATTTCGGGCGATTTGGATATTGGCCACGAGCGAACAGTGACACACAAAATGACACCACGTACTTCAGGAATGCCACGTGTAAGCGTCACTTTAATACAAACTTAACACAAGCAGAGCAAGGCAACGAACGACAGATATCACGTGATGTCTTTAATGCTGTCCAGTACAAAGGCAGGCAGCAAAACCTATGGTACATCTTCTCCAAAGCATTGTGCTGTTAGCAATTATCACTAAACAAATGTATTTATTGCCAGTGTTTTATGGATTTAGGTCATGAAAACCACCAGCAACCGCCAGCAATTGAGGCCCCAATTTTGGCAGTATTTATTATAAAAGCTCAACAGGTTAAACACACAAGTACTCGCAAACAGTGCCCAAACGTCACCCTTCAACACTGCGCTTCGACCCAAAACCCCATCATCACGAGCTTCACTGCAAATCTACGCATTCACAAGTTGTTGGAACCGTTCTCAGTTTACATGCAGTTCTTTGTTTTTAATTTATATGGACTCTTAATAATTTTCAAAGGCATTTCCTCCGATGTCTATTGAAACAAGATTTGTTTATTATACCCTTCATATCGCCCCTTGTAGGCAAGTTGTCACTTATTTATTTAACTTTGAGTATCCATCATTTCCTTTATAAAATAAATGCCTTTAAAAAGTTCATAATATTGACACTATTATCACCTGATTTGTGATCAGCACTGTCTTAGAAATGCATTTGAATAACCTTACTGCACATATATCCAAGCAGAATTAAGAGGGGAATATGTATAGGACCCAAGTCTGAATCTAAGCACAGGTCCAAATCTTAACTTTCTTTTCAGTGCCAACACCATTATAGCTAACACTGAAAAACTAACTTGCGTTCTCGTAAGTAAAACAGCAGCCAAACATCGAAAAAAAAATCGAGCAACATGTCAATACAAATCATTCATCTGCCTATGATTACAAGCTATCTTAATATAGTGCTACAACTACAGTGCTCAGTAGATTACATTTTAAGAAATCAATTACCAGATTCCAACTTTACCAATCCTATACAAAGCAATTAAGTGGTTTCACTGTATCCACTCAAATGTCTGGCTTGTGCCAAACAGATCACATTTCCTCTGCAGGCAAACCACCATTTCCAGTCATCACACGCGGCACGACAGTTCAACACCACAATACACGGTGCAATAGCCACATTATAAACACACACAGTTAGCAGTCATGAAACATTGCGCACTATAACCACACGTCCTACAATTGTGATGAAATCGTACGATTTCACGTAATAAAAAAAGTATCCCAAGGCAATTAATTTTTATTTACAGTCTTTGTGAATGCTATTCCATTGGTTTTTTTGCACAGCTGGAAGAAAATGTTTGGAGAGAAGCAGAGTGGCCTGTCAGGGAAACGCAGAATCCATTTAACTCCTGTGGCACTTTCCAGAGGGCCGAGTCAAATGTTATTTTTGGGGTTGGGAGACGGAGGTGGGTATGACGATTTCCACCTTTCCAAATGAAGTAATTTGGGAGTATACTGAGACATTTGGCAATTTAAGTCTGCACAAACCACTGATATTAGCCGTTAAAATTAAGACGGCAAACCCCGCTTGCAGAAGCATTTATAAAGGACGTTGTTAGAACGTCTTGTCGCAGATAACGTGCTTGTCATTTATAAGTGTGGTTTTCTGAGGTAGGCTGCATACTGAGCATTTCTTTATATAATTAATCAGCCACCTGGGGATCAAACCAAACATCGTTGGTGTTTGGAGGAGCCTGGGACCAACTTTAGTCGGCACTGATTCTTCGTAATGTGCTCAACCGGAGTCAGAAGATGTAAAGGCAAACAAAATACAAAGTGCGCAAATGAGGCACGATTACCTCGATTGTGTGTGGTAAAAGCAAGAGAAAATAAATGCTCAATACACAGCTTGACAATTGGATTGGCTCAACGGTGAAAGGGCTTTCTAATTAGATTCATAACATTTAAATTAAAAAGTAATTACGTATTTGCTGTAATCTTGTATTTGGATAAGTGTTCGTGGCCATTGGCATCGTCAGCAAAAGTTGTTTATTTCACCAGAACTGTGCAAAAGTACTGATGGAGAGGCAAACAGCCATGCGCGCAAGGCCAACTGACATGCCAACAGCACATTGGGAGTGATTGCTCTAAATCTACATCAAGGATGGGAAACAAGAGGGAATACTCACTGTAATGAAACGTGATTTTTTTATATATATAATACGACAGGCAACATAGGAAAAGCAGAGTACTTATTATACATGTCCACAATCACTTAAGCAAATACCACAGTCGGGACTGCAAGCAGGTCGTACATTGCAGCATTAACATGCACCACTAGTGGTGATAACTGTTACTCAAACAACCCTCACATGCTGTTCGGCTTTCAAAAAGGACGTTGTAATTCTTAAATTTTTACAGAATTCATTTTGTTTTGGAAACTTACATCCTCAGAAATTACGGTGATTTGTGGTGGTTAAGATGCAATACAAATGTGTTTATATAAGGATTAGGAATGAGTTCCTACTCGCTTTAGGCACAAAGCTAAGGTTACAGAATGGAAATACAAACATTGTTTTATTAAGATTGTAAGAGCTAAGGATATATACAAGATCAGGGCCAATTTCTCAGGAATGATACAATTTCCAGCAAAATGTATTTTAATTGCACACATTTATTGGCATTTACTGAACCTAATTTACTTTCTTTTTCCAATTATCCCTTGGTCTAAACCAAGTTCCAATCAGGCACGAGTTCCACACCTAATTACAGCGAGTCATCGTCCAAACCGCTCCTGTACATTTCAAGTCAGGTAACTGTTGTGGTCAAATGTAAGATGGGATTCGTCCCTCCATAACTCAGCCAATGCTTTTTCCAGAAGCGTTTTATTTTTATCTGAAGGTGGGAGTAAGGGTTTAAGTAGACTGGCGGCATCATCATCACCTGCGGGGGGTCCAACAACTAAAAATCCGAAACACATTTCTTTGGCTTAAAAAAAAAAGCGGCCGAGCAGACACCAAAATCTTGCCGATGTTTATCGAATGCATCATTGCATAAACAAATGCGTGCTGGTCCCAGAATCTGAATTCAAACTGGCACACGCGTATGTGCCGGTTGGGTGGGATGTTCCCATGCCAGGGTGGGTAAGGGTTTTCCAATGGATAAAGCTGGTATGAGGTAATAACAATTGGCGTAGAAGCTTGCGCCAACAAGACAATGCAATGCCAGGTTGATGGTCGTGATGGGCAAAGCAGAGGGGGGGTTGTTTTGTAAAGGCCCAAGGCAACACAACAGTTATTTAGAGCGATTATAAAAAGGTGCTTCAATTAAATACTATATGGTGCTGGTAACAATAGAAATGCTCTCCAATTCACCACATTTTAGAAAATTCTTTTTTTTTTACTTTTAAAGAAATGGGCGCATCACAAGCAGCTTTAGCAGTCAAAAATAACATTATTTTATGGACAAGTGCATTCTTAAATTACCTTTACCAAATAAAGTTGGTTTTATTTTACAATACTGATTAAATAAGGCTTTCAGTGCTAAAATCATTTAGAAGGCAAGATTTGTATCCACAAGTTCCGCTTACATCTGCTGAACAAATAACATTAAATAAGACCAATGTGAAAAATAAGAACCCTATTCAGTCCTTATATTAATATTCATTTTCTTTACTATACAAAGGTCTTCATTCCAGATCTGTAGAAGATGTTTTTTTCAGAACACGCATTCATCTGTTGGATTGAGAAGAGGCAATACACGTGCAAACAGTACACGATTTAAATATTAAACACATGTATTACAAAATAAATGTTATTGCTCATTCACAAAGACAAAAAAACCCAGAAAAATAATTGTTGAAAATACGGCAATAAAATAAATTCCCATTAGATTAAGCCAATTGATACCTATTGTCCTCTTTGCAAGGCAGGGTGATTGTAATTGTGCAGGGACTGGCTTATTTTCTAGACAAGTTTACCTTTACAGCAGGCAGTGTGCTTGGTATGTGGTTAATAAGCAAAGTGACCATCGCGGGTTCTTGCTGGGCTACCCAGCAGCCTAATTTCACACGAACATTCCTTAAGCCTCGGCTTATTTGATTGGCAATAATGTAATGGGCTTCACCATGCAATTAGCACACATTCATATTTCCCAGACTTGACCATCCTCTCAAGTGAATATTTCACTGGGCTTTGCTCGGTTTGAATCGTTTTTCTTTTACGTGTATCAACATTATAACATTAACATCTGCATCCTGCCATGCATTGTCAGAATTAAAGACCAATTTCTTACATTTAATGTCTTTCTTTACATGTGTTTTATCATAACTCTTTATTAATTTGAATACATTTTCACCTATACCAATCTTAATTGCATGCCTCCGCAAAGAAATGTCCACTTACAATACTGTAGAATTATACGTGCAAACCCACATAAGTCACTTCAATAATGAAATTAAGATTTCAAGCAAATTTTATATTAATAATCCTTTAATCTAACCCTTCAATATAAAAATGTCAAAATTAAATATTTAAAGTAATTCCTCATTACAATCAGTATGATTCTCAGTTGAAATTGGGCAGAGATTAACAATTTGCAACCGTTCATAAAGATCACACGCATAGTCACATGCATTCATAACAGTAACCAGAAGAGCTTTTGTGGGTTAGATAGCGTGAATATATAAATGTGTCGTTAAAACCCGCCACCACCCGACACAGCCAACTAGTAAGGGTTGTCACGTAAACAGAACATGCCAATTCGTCACGAGTACAGCACACACCGGTGTGTTGGAGGCCCTTGAAATGACAAGTGACTCAGAACACGAAAATTACATTACACAGTTTTGCCAGTTCCGATATACATGTACATTTTGCTCTAGTTCTCGACAGGTGTGGCTCAAACGCTTGGTGACGGATATTGTTTGTGGGCCGTTTCTAAATGGGAGACCTCAAATGCTCGTGAGACGTTTCTGGTGTGAAGTCAAAGGCCCCATATAAGCCGTGGGTTTCTAACCCCTGCTCTAACACAACGCACTCGGCGGTTACCTGCATGCTCCGTGTGATCTCTCATGCATCGTTTGGCTTGAACGACATAGGATCATTAAGAGGGATTTCGTTTTCATTCTTCCTAGGTTCATTTCTGAGTCACAAATAAACAGCAATTCAGCTAAGAGGGAAATATCCATGTGAGAAGGAAACAACTCCATAAATCACTGCTACAGCTACAAGTTCCCATTCTATCTCTCCGCCTCCATAATAAGTAATATTTTAAAAAAACTTTTTTTAAACACGCTTTAATGAAATGTACCGTACTAGCAATGGAAGAACTCTACGACTCCAGGAAGCGGCCCCGAAGCTTGCCATAAACGGAAGGGACCGTGGTGATTTACAGCCAACGTCAGTTGACCGTGGACAATTAGAGCAAAGCCGAAACATAACCTCTAAAAAATAATGTTTTAAATATATGTTTATTTTTATTTTTATGATAGAATATAGTGGTGTCATCAGTATGACATAAGTATACCAAGTTTGCAGTCGATACCACATTGGGAAGTGGGTTAAAACTGAGTTAGAAAATTTGAGGATACAACAACAGAGTGAGTTAATAAAAAGCGTGTCATAAAAATCAAAGCACCTCCAAGTGAAGAGTGTAGGGAGGCACTCATTTCCACAAGCAGTCATGAGACAACGGTGGAAATGTTAACACTCATTTAGGGGAGATGGGCATCTCCATTTGATAACAAAGGATGACTTTTCACGCGGTACTCTTTTATCAAAATGTATAGAACAAGGCGATTCTACTCCTGACCAGGCATTAAACTCGTGACCTTCTGGTTATATGTGAAGCATTGTAAACACAGTGCCGGCTGGCCAAATCTTCTCAGAGTAAACTATACGTTCTGTTGCGTTAATGACAATATCAGGCTCTGCACCACTCTCAACTGGGACCCATGAACCTCCAAGGAAGCACAATGCCCATCAGGGCAATGTGAAATGCCAAGAGACCAATTAAGGATAAGCAAAAGGGTGGTCGTGACAGGATAAAAAGGTTGTTTGGTTAATCTCCTGAGTTGCATACCAGCCCATCCTCCACTAGCCTGGCAACAAATATTAAAAGCAATAATGCAATATTAATGCACACCACTTTGTATATATGCTGGCTTAAAGCCTCCAAATGCCATGTCAATCATGGGGGTTGTTTAACTGTACCTCACCTTGCCAATCAATCAGTGTCATTTGGTCAAAGGCCAACATCGCCAGTGAACAAAATGTGATCTTGGGTTGCTCGGTTCATAGGACAATGTGCAAACCACTGTTACACAAAAGCAATACTAAATTATATTTCGGGAAATTCCTTGAGATGGCCAGATAATATCAATACATGGGTGGTTGTCAGAAATATGTTGCATAACTTCCAATGCACAGGATACCTTGTAAGAGACGTTTCACGGTGTGGGTCACATCATATTTCCAGAGAAACTAAAACTGTAGCTACCCACATGGCAAGGGATGGCTGTGTGATTTACGCCTTCTAAAATAATAGTATCAGCGAGTAAATTCAGAGCCTGTCCTTTTTTATTGAGGTTAATGTAAACCAAATGAGATTATTGTTTTTGCTTAAGAGGTAATTCACATTTAAAAGATGAAGCTTTTATCAACAGCCAAGTGCAGCAAAAAAATAAGAATGGCATAATTTCGTACTTACATGGTTTTGCTTCCACTTGGTGCAAAACACGCAATTTTCTTGTAGAATGCAAATGCAACAATCGCACCAATGAGGGCTACAATAATAATAACTGAAAAACAAACCACAACATTAAAATGTTTAACAGCTTGTATATTTGTTTTTATCTGAAGAAACCACCCACCCCCCAAACTAGACAACCACTTGGGTTTCTGGTCATGTTCCCGGCACGTGACGAGCAGCTTGTGTGCGTGTGCACCAATGTGTACGCCGTGACAGAATATGTTCACCTCATTCATGTGGCCGCGTGGTTATTGGGCGGGTTTTTTTCTACGTTATTTAAATGTTTATTCTGTTTTTACTTAAGTTGAAAGGCATAAATCTTATATTGGTCAATATCTACTGCCAACCCAACCACTGTTGAATAATCTTATCTAAGTGGTACTGGTACAGCTCTTCATCAGTCCCCACTGTGCTGGTCGAGGGGGTTAAGTGATCAAACTTCATCAGGGCGCCTAGTGCACATTAGGTGAAGGTGGAGAGCATAGATAGACATGGCAGCACAGAAGCGTACTACACTATATCCAAGTGGCAATCGGTTTGAATAGGACTTTAATTGAAAATGTTAGCCAAGTACAATATAAGAGGGATGGTTGGACAAATGGAACAGGATTACAATTGAGTCAATGTATCCGTCGATTTACGAACAATCGACTTACGAATTTTCGCGTAAACGCAATTGACAAATTACAGACACTTTTTGATTAACCAAATGTAATTTCACCCGGCACGCGCCATGAGATCATCAAAGAAGAAGCACCCAGGAGGCTGCGTCATCCATCCGCGACAGCGTCATGGTCTCGCCGCAGTGCAACAGTCACACCCCCACATCACTTTTACAGGCATTCCGACATGCGGATATTTTGCAGTTCCCTGAAAATGTAGAATTTTAGTTTTAAATTAATTATGATTTAATCGTTGTAATATCCTATTAACGAAATTTCGCTTTATGAGCGTTTTTTTTTTTACATCCCTTTCATATATCGAGGGATACCTGTATAAGTAAAATGTATGCAAAAATGTCTAGAACTATAGAAAAACAATGGTTCCCTCTGTACCAAAGTCTCTGTACATATAATGGTGTCCATGGACATCTATACAACATGCTTTTCCGTGCAAAAATCTTTCCATCACATTCTCTCCTTGCGGCTCAAATGTTGTTAAAAATTGACATGAATTTTTTTTAATCAGCTCGTTTGATTGCACTGCTGTTTGTTTTGTGGTGTTAATTATAAAATTACTTACCAGGGACAACAACGCAAGTAGCTCCAACTGTAAAGAAAACAGCAAAAAAATGGACAGTTATTTCAAATTATGTAGAACTCAATCATTTATACTTTCTGCGTATATATTTTCATAAATCTATGACAAGACTGTGCCTGGCACCCACGAGAGCATGGTAAAGGAACATGTACGACTCATGCACATTTTATAACCGTTTTAAAGGATTGAAAAAAAAATGCTCAGGAAAATACAGGGTTCTCTTACTTGATGGCAAATGTATACAAAGGACACTCCAGTCAGGGCCCATTTGTAGTAAAAAAAACACTATTCCCCATTCATACTCTTGGGTTATCCCAACGTTGTTGTCCTGTCATACAAAAACAGTGATATTTCTCCAGACACATTTTATATCATATAACCATATTCTATTTTTCGATTTAAAGCTTTCATGACTGCAGGGATTAATCTTCTTGGTTCTTTCGGTAAAGTCGTCCTCAGGCTGCTTGCGTTGTGGCCGAAACGTCGTGAGAATTATTTATTAGGTTGAACCATATTCTACATACCTACATGAACTTCAGTGCACTTTGTGCAGCAGTCAACCTACTCATCCATCCAGCCATAAGACTTCCTTTGGAAGCTTCCTCAACGCAGTGAATGTGGCAATGTTCAATTCTTTCGCCGATGCATAGTGACTTTCCCCAAGCTAATTTTGAGGGTACAGGTGGAAGTCATATGGACTGGTCAATATTAGTTCCATCACCCAGATCAACCTAAAAATCATTTGATAGGGAATAAACCTGGGTTTCTCCCATAGGGTGGTGTTATGCCGTCACGTATAAGGCAACACACCCACGTAACAAGAATACTATTTACTCTGGAAAGCCTTGTTGAGTAACAAGCCCTTCAAGCAGGATTTGAGTGTGAAATTATCCAGAGGTCAAAAACCCTACTTGCTGTATCAGTCATCTACTGACAACCATGAAGAAATGCAGGTTGGGAGTGCCATCAAGATTAATTCCAAAAGGTCGTGGTGGATTTGAGGCGTGCGCACCATGTGGGTATATACGTCAGACGGTGAGGAAATATTTTTATCAAGTTTTTTTACCAAGTAAAGCCCACTGAGCTATATTATTATTTTTCAGAAACAACCTGGCCCCAAATCGTGGCTCAACTAAGTGCCTCATCATGTGGAAATTTATAGCGGCCAAATACTCTAAAGGCAAGTTTCTAAATGTGGAAGGAAAAACCGGAGGACCCGGAGAAAAATCCACAAAATGACAGGGAGAACATGAAAACTCCAAATATACATGCGTCATGGACATGCAAACTCCAAATATAAAAGACGTCAGGGTCGGGATCGAACCGACGACCTCCTGCAAACCAGGCGAGGAAGATAACATCTCGCCACCGTGCAAATAATATAATGGGATGAATCTGAATCCATATTTGCAACTTTCATAGAATTCACCAAATCCAAATCTGTAGGCCGAATTAGAAACCCAATTTGTGCTGCCAGTAGCCAGTGTCTGTTGGTGGGAGAGCGAGCATATGAGCACACCTCTTGACAGCACCTCCCACCAAATACAAGTGTAATGTTGGAGACACAGCAAATATACAGTTCAAAAGCACTGCAATATGTTTATGCATGCAATTCAAATACAACAGAATACTTCATGCCGTATATTAAATAAGCCATGACCAATCCACCGCTGAAAGCCTAAAATGCTTACTATAATCTGGCAACATCTACAACCAGATTGCTTAGAGACCTGGGAATGAAGGGCCAGAGCCAGCGTTCGGCAATCAGAGCTGTATCGGAGGCGGCAGAAGGCAGCAGTCAGTGGCTCTGGATGAAGACGAAAGACCCCAGCTGGGCCCCAAAGTGAGAGGGTCAGGAGGTATGTAGTCAACAATGCTCGACTCAGGGAGGAGGACACCCCTGCCATGCATAGTCCCATGGGATGTTGGCTATCAACAACAAGGCAACTCCTATGACTAATTGGGAATGGGACGCAAGCGTAGGATTGATCACCCTTTCGCTGGCCGCCTTTGGGGAGGGTGTATAGTATGAAAGGTCGAAACACCCTAGGAACCAAAGGTTCACTACTGACGATACGCTCCCCAAATTTCACCAGGCTCACTGTTCATGAACTCTTGGAAGTGCTTGCACAAAGGATAGTAACATCTCATCCTGTGTTCTTTGGAATCTGAGACTAAGGCAGGTGTCATGGTTGTTAACAAGGTGAGAGTTAAAAACAGATATCATGGTGCTTGCAAGGAACAGCCCACACTCGCTTTTCTCACAGCTGCTGGAGCACAATATCAGCACAAGAGAGTGGAGAGATGCATCCGGGCAGGCTTTTGGACAAGGCTGAAATGTGATATACATCATGTTCCGGGCCACCGCATATACTTACACGCACAGTCAGGCGAATGTGACCACTTCCCGTTCTGTTGGCAAGTAATTTCAGAGTTAACTGGAAAGCAACATGTCTTGCACTTGTACGAGAATCTATATCCACAGGCATATGTAGGCTTGTCTTTGTCATGTCCTTCTCTGTCTTCAATCGCAGGGGGTCGTTCACACGAACCTGAAAACATAAAAACGTGTAAATATAAACAGTGATAATGGAATGAGCTGGAAGTGTTTGTGCGAAGCCTAACCTGAAATGGTTTACTCCAGATAAGGCATCCTCCTTGTAATGTGTTATTTTAACCTGCTGTCACAAGTAAAGCCCCATTGTGGTACTGCAAATCTTAGGATAAGCACTGAGAGTTCTTCTAAAATAGAAGGCACGATTTCAAAACTTTTAATTAAGTGGACTGTAATATAGTATACCGATGCAATAAAATATGTAGACTTCAGCAATGGAATTTCGAAGCGAGGCTCAATTTCAGATTAGATTTGTCTCTCGTGGATGTCCCATTGCTAAAATAAGCACAGAAACATCATCCACTGGTGGAGTAAATAAGGGCTGCTGCGGATAAGGAAATACGATGTAATATACAATATATGATTTACGATAAATGTATCATACCGTTTTGCCAAATATTGTTACTGTATATGATTATTATTGCTAAATTTATATGTATTACGTATTATATTTCCCAACAAAATGTATGAAATAAACTCAATAATTAGTCGTGAATAGCCATAAGAGAGAATGGGGATTATAAGTAATAATTTTCACATTTCATGTAATTGTTTAATTAGTTTACTTGTAACTGACAGCGTCTGCGTTATAGATAAGCAGGCAATACACGTATAAATCTATATAATACATTTTCTTCATACATCTGTTTCTTTAAAGTATAAGATAAAACTTACACAACCCATCGGCCTGACAGCCTTCGGGGAGTGAATAATGCATCGATTCAATACAATAACAACTCTGGATGCGCGTTGTCAGTCTCATCAGCAGAGGCAGGCTTGCTTGAATATATGCTGGTGAACCCACATGATTTAGGCAAATACCCTCTTTAAATATGGGTCCGAGTTCACAATTCTTATGAACTGTACACTGCAGATATTAAAGTCGCAATGATTAATGACTTCTGAAAGCCTTAAGTTGAAGGATCTGCAGTTGAAGAGCATAAGTAAATTTTATGCATACTGGAAGTACAGAAAGATAAAAAAAACAATCAATCGTGTGAAATACAATTACAAAACTATGGGAAACAGATATCGCGATAATCGTCACATCTGATATCATATCATGCAAAATTATATCACGACAACACTAATATGAATCCAGAATCCGTGAAACCCAGAAAATGTGAAGTTTCTTACACTGAGACGAAACTTCCGTGCGCGGAAGAGATGTTGTTCTTACTGTGTAAAACAAAAACATTTGAGAATCACCACTGGATATTTTTTACAAAACATTCCATGTAGAAAAAATCCACATGAACACACAGAATCTCCCCAAAACATGCCAACGGCGAAAATTTTTCTCATACATCAGCGTCATTCATTCATCGTCATCATCATCACGATCCATGGGCAGATAGCTCGTAGGCGTCCACTCCACATTTTATCATTCTAATGTCTGACAGAATTCACCAAGTACCTGTTAATACTGTGCACATGAAGTGGTTTCACGTTGAAAAAAACGTTTAAAAAAAACTCAAAGATTCTATACACCTATTGATATGTACACACAGCAACTCAATTCTTGTTATTTTGTTAATAGTGCCTAAACAAACTTGAAAAGGAACGCATTGTTGCAGTCTGTGCAGCTCAACTCGATGTAAAAATTACAAGTTCAGCAATTCGGGATAAGCAGTGAACAATGCTCATCACGAAATGCAACTATCTCGTGCAATAACACAACTGGATTCTTTAGCATTTGAGTAAAGCGGAGGACGGGACACACCGCGAGGTAGAGCCCACGCTTGCTTTGATCAAAGCTGCTGCTGCAGCGCAATGTGATTGAGAGAGCAATGGAGCAGGTAGGTTTATGGACCAGGTAAAATGTGCTGCTACACAACCAACCATACATATGTTCCTGGCCACCACAAATACTTACACACACAGCGAGGTGAAGGTGACCACTGCCCATTGTTTTGGCAAGAAATTTCACCATTTCCCACCAGATGATAAGTGTCATCGCACATGTATGACACTTTGTCTCCATATGCATACAGAGTCTTCGCTTGTTCCTTTATTTTCCCATAGGTGACTGTGGCTGGAGGGCCACATGTGACCGCTGCATGGCACGTGGAAATATAAATAGTAAAAATGCAAAATGGTTTGGAGTATTCCAAATAATCAGATCCTCCTTGAGAAATATCACAGTGCTTAGCTACGTTGTTGCAATCTTAGGTGACATGTATGGTCATGTTTTGGTGAGCATCAAGATGTATTCTCAAACAGAAGCCAATGTTTCAATATATAAACTCGAATGAGAGCTTTGTGATCTTGGTACAGTGAACCCTTAAAATTTCGTGGGCGACGTTTCTGGAGAATGGCATGAATATTAAATTCACCAATATTCATACTCAAAGCTTGAGGAAAACAGGGTTAGGGGCATAAACAGATATAGTTCAAATGTAAATATATAAGCAATGTTTATATATTATTGAAAACACTATAGGATTAGTATTTAACTTGTGGTCTTTATGGTTGTTGCCATCATATCCGCAGACTCAGCTTCCCCAGCCTCCCACTTCCAGCCCCGCCCCGCTTCGCGTTCTCTCTCTCCCGAGCGCTGATGACGGACGCTTGTGTTGCGCCCGAAACGTCGTGATTTATTTTTATCTTCTACCCACGTGACTTTACCGAAAGAACCAGAGAGTACGGATTCCTACAGTTTTCTCATCTAGATCAAATCTAGATTTAAGTTACCTTTAATAATTATGAACAGAAACAATTAAACGTGCAAATATCAATGGATAAATTACTATTTAAAGCTTTCGTGACTGCAGGGATTCATCTTCTTGGTTCTTTCGGTAAAGTCACTTTACCGAAAGAATTTGCAGATGTGTGGCTAATGTGCAAAAGCAATTATAAAAATCGCGAATATTAATGGTTTACTGTATATCGGTGCACATTGGACTTTGATGCAATTCAACTCATCATCCCAGAATCCACTCTGGGTTTGTTAAAATAGGGAGCTATCATTTTCAGCTCAAACATTGTCAGTTTAGCAAGATCACTGCAAATTTAATGGAGTAACAAAACTCGCGCAAAAACTTTCAATTCTTTGCAATTAGATGTATTAGCTGATGAATAGACATGGAGTTCATCATTGATAGGGATGGATTTCCGATTTATTTTAATCTGGCCCAGTTACAATATTTTGGATTCAGGTTTCAGGTTAGCGCAGGTTTCTCATATGGCACGGTTGTTATATATAATGTACCGATTCAAAAATAAAATCTGAAAATGTCCTTTAAACATTTGTATTCTAAATTTCTTAACCCGAAACTCATCCCTAATAAGAGTTCACTCCTGTCGTTTACTTACATGCACACGTTGGAGGCTGTGTCCACTGATCTTTTGCCCTACAAGTAGCCGTTTCACTGCCCTCTAACCGATAGCCTTCGCGACATTTGTAGGACACCGAGTCACCGATGGCATACTCCGACTTCGGTTGCACCACGTCACCATTGCCAATCAGCGGAGGGTTGCGGCAGCCAGTAACTGCAGCAGAGAAAACGGTTCATACTTTATTTCTGGCCTTTCTTCCACTCCTGGCTCTACCTCCTGTTGATATTTTAAGTCCTCAATGTCAACTTCAGCTCTGTACGTAAAAAAAGGTTTCCTATGATTGACCCATTAAAGCCAGCGCTCTAATACACGGAGGGGAAGGTCTTTTTTCCCATGCAGGTTGAGACCATCACACACTGATATAAATTTTAAATGCACTACTTATGGCAATCACGTTTAACTCACCCCAGTGTTACTGCCAGATAATCACAGACAACACTGAATGCAGCGATCTCTGTTTCATCATCTTAAGCCATGCTATAGCCACTGCTGAATGAAGGCTTTGCCATTTCTTATCCTCATTGCTCCTGCCATTTCATAATCAATCTTGCTTCTGTGCATGAACCGATCTCGTCACTCCATCTCTAGGGTCATAAGCCTCTCTAGTCATGTTCCATCCTTTGGTTAGTATTGTCACCAGTCTCAAATGACAATCACGCCTTTTATTGAAGTGTCCTGGACAAGATAATAGTGTAAAGTGTAGCTTTTTTTACGAACCAGAAATGTGGACGAGAAACGACAAAGTAACACGGTTGGAAGCGTTTGCAATGTGGATATCGAAAAAGATGCAGAAAGAAAGCTTGATACAGAAGATGACCGAAAAATAGATTCTGACTGGCACCAATGAAAGAAGAGTGATAACACAAGCCATGAGGAACAAGATCTCGATTGGACACTGGTAGGAGAGTTAAATGAATACGGACGTTAAGAATGAATAATGGGAAAGAACCAGAGGTAGGCCAAGGATTGTGATTTTGGACCTGAAGGGTCATTTGTAGAAATAAAGACAGAACAGAGAATGGAGAAGATGCAACAAAGGACCTGCCATTAAGACAGAGTACCAAAGAAGAACAAGCTCAAGACAACTTAACAGTTAACATTGTGTTTTAAACGTTTGATCTCTGATCCATGTGTTCCTCTTCCTGTCTCTCAGCAGTTCCTAACATACATCTATCCATGATCCTGTATATGTCCAGCTATTGTTCCACGTTCTTTGTCGGTCCATTCTGGTGAATTTGTCAAGGCAGAAAATATGTACGGATTGAACATGTTCTTCTTAAGGCACACTGGTATGCTGCTTTCATTATAATTTTAGTTTGTTTCAAAAAGCGCTCCATTCTGTTTTTGCTCGTCTCTATTTAATTATTTTGAGCCATGTTTGATATGCCCTAGACATAGAAAACGGTTTTGTTTTCCAGTTGTGTCTCTCCAAAGATTGCGTGGTCAAAGTAATCACAATTTCAGCAAACCTGAGATGGTGAGTACTTTCAGTATTTATCTTTATGTTGTTGTTTCTCCAATCTCATATTTTAAATATATTCAGCTCACTGAACAATAACATTTATTTCAAATACGTGTTGTAATTGTGCTTATAGCGCACTGTAAGCAGAGTAATATGTGTAGCTATGGCAGTGGTTATTATTGTCATTAACGATGGAATACACTCGAGTATGATTACACCTCGCATGAGTGGTGTTGTGTTCCCATATTGGGCATCTTCACCAACCTACTACACTGACCAGCATGGTGAAGTATGATCAAAACACCCTCCTGCCTGTCACAAACCACAGCTCTGGATCCATCAGTTATGCTGCCAGGGTGGATATAGAAGTTGAGTGCTAAGAATCACGAGGTGTGAACAAAAGGCACATTTCAAGATATCATTACAGCTAAACACAAGACTAGCAGACTAGACGAGAGTTCAAGTCTGCTCGTTTAGTCCCCGGTTCCAATCGTCACTCACTACGTATTCTGTACTACCTACCAGAAAGTAAAAGACATTTTCCTGACCGAGCTTTCCAGCATGCTAGACCTCCATTCTCAGCAGTGATCGCGGCTTTATTGACACCAGTGACCTTAATTTCCCTGGCTCCTCGTTTGTGGAGTTCAATTATCAGCTTGACGATATCCTTACCTCCTACAATCAACTAATGGTTAATGACGGACCAACTCGCGTGTCAAATACGGGTTGACAGCACACTGGACCTAATAGTTGAGCCCAATTACAAATGTCAACTCAAATAACTTATAATTTCCAGTCTCTTAATCGTATAAAGGAGCATAAACCATCAAGGAAACTCCAGTCATCCTTGCAGCACTTTCAGATACGTTTCTGCAGCCGTCTAAAACGCTCCTCCTTCCGATATAAGGAAGCCACTGGTAGTATGCAATTTTTTATCTAGATTAAAAACTAATTTCTTTACAACTGCTAAAAATCATCCGGGCCGCGGCATTTCGTACGTTGGAGAGTGAAGGTGGAGGTAGAAAGTCAGAAAAATTGGAGTCAAGGAGAGTTTAAACGAGGGAGTGAATCGGGCATTTAGCAGCAATTAGGATGAGGGGACCAATTTTGTGAATATAGAAAAGGTGAAGGCAGCAAGTGTGGGTATTGGCAGAAACGTGGTTTGAGAAGAAAATATATCCACCTCATAGTTGTCCAAGCGCTCTAGAAAATCCTCAATTACTCTCATTTCTGATTGCTTGAACTACACCACATTCTTCTTGTTACGAATGGCTGCCGATGTAGATGCAGAGCAATAACTCCAATTTCACATCCAGGTGGCCAAGCCAGACAACTGCACCAGGAGCAGTGGAGTGTATCACTTATGTCTCCATCGTTGCAGAGGCGACATCACATTGAAGAGAAGCTACCAACATCCTCCACCGCTTTTGATTCAACATCTGACACCACAATAAACCTCAATCAACTTCACCTCAGCCGCAGACACGTCAATGACATGTTAGCATCCGTTAAAACCCTGCAGCACCCATTTCTCTCATGACACTCATGACAAGTGTAAGTCTAGGCAGCAGCTACTGCATCAAAGCACACCAACTGAAAACGATCTACTTGCACTCTGGACTTGATACTAGATGCATAACATACCGTCTTACCCAGTCAAGTTATCAACAAGCTCAACATGGCCTCACGTGCATCATACATAAATGAACGCATACATTTTGCAGAAAACCATCCGCGTTGACTCTGGTCCATGCTAAATGCCCTTCTCCATCACAATCATGAGACAACGTGGCGCAATCACCTGGGCGAGTCTTTAATCACTCTAAAAAATTCGATACATCTTTAAGGAGAATACCAGCATCACCTCCAGGGAATCTCTTTTGGCCTGTTATGATCAATCCCCAGCCATTTCTTCTCTCGCCCGTTATTCTATACTCTGCCCCTCCCACCTGTTACACCAAGGTTCTCAATCTTATTCTAAACTATAGAATAAATGTAATTTCATATGTTGCTAACGCCACCGACTAGTCAGTCTATTACTTCTATCACTTACACCGGCAAAATTGCCACTTCTCTTAAAGTAACCGAGCTCTGACTGAGGACACTGCAAACTAATGCTCTATTACCAAATTATCAACCATCTCCAAACTCCTGCAGTGCCTCACCCTTTTCCGAATTACATTACTTCATCCCCCAATTTCTGTCCCCTTCTGTCTACCACCCAGCCCACTCTACCGAGGACTGCTTTTGTCAAGACCACTGACATCATAGCCTTTAGAGCAATGATGGAACCAGAGTCGATAGTTGGCCTACAATATTTTAATTGAATGCTTATAATCCGATTTCGGGGCACAACTATACAGTGGGTCACCTAGTATCTTCGACTGAAGGTCCTATACCAAGGTTCGCAAGTCCTCAACCCGTCATCATATCCACTGCAGGTGTCCCCTCCTCTGGGATCGGTCCTGGATCCTTTATTTTTTAAATCTTCATCTCCCCAGTTGGTCGCCTCATTGATAGTCATGGCACAAACCACGATACCTATGCCAATGACACTCAATTATACTCCACTCTAATATTCACTTGAGGCCCACTGTACCTTGCAAATTGTAGCTCAACCTTACAACACTGGTTTTGGTCAAACCACCTCCTATTAAACTCCAACAAACCTATAGTTATTTTTCTAGCACGAGGCAACAGCATCACCTTCAACTCTACATTATCACTCGACAACCACGTCTTCAACACAATAAAGACATTGCCACCACCACCTCAGGGGCCTAGGGCACATTCGCCCAATTTTCCCACAGCAAACTCTTATTTTAGGATTGTACACACTCGCTTAAATTACTGCAACGCCATCCTTACCTCGGGACATCAGAAGTACACCTCAACAAACGATAGTAGCTCCAAAACAACTCGTCACGTGCGTTAGGTGTGGCCATATGGCTTCACTCAAATTTTGCACTGGTGACATCAAGGATACAGTATAAAATTGCTTTTGTGACACTGAGCTCTTTCAAGGTTTCCCCTGCCATACCTCTCCACACTTCTCACTTGATTGACTTTAGTAAACTAACATGACTAATAATAACTATCTGTCCATTGTACCTGCCATCTGGGATTCTCCCACTGCACATGCACAGAATGCAAACCTCACATGCCAAACTGTTCAAGGTTGGCATGTGAGGGACTTTGAGCCCTGTCCTGGCACCTCCCAAGTTCTCTCAATGCAACAATGCGTCCGATTCGGGAAATATTTGCGCACTCTAAATTGTTTATTATTAACAAAGCTCTGTTCTAGCAAATTCGTCAACCAATCACACACCTGTGCAATAACACATGTAACATGGCAACTGTTGTATTGTGGAGAAATAAAGGAAGAAATGTGACTGTTCTACTCAAAAGGAGCACAAGTACTTACAGACACATTTGACCGTGGCAGACCACTCGTTGTTCTCAGTGCACTGGATTTCACTTGGTTCAGCCTGATAGCCTGCTGAACATTGGTATCTTACAATATCTTTGTACTTATACACTTCTTTACGTTCACTCATCGCTTGGCCGTCGGTGATGTCCCATGGAGGTGTCGTGCACTTAACATCTTTTAAAGAAAGCATACGCGCGCACACACACAAATAATACAAATACATGAGCACACGAAATAAAATGTACTTTTCACCAGACACCTGGGACAATAGCTCTTAGTATGCACCTATTATTGGCAGTATGGCACTCGAGGGAGTGATGTGGTCACGACCATAGATGCTTAGTATTTATTATATCACTCATTTTTAGCCATGTTGACCTAGGGGAGGACAAGATAGTTTCATATAGTGGCGCTTCATGGATAGAATCAAACTTCGGTGGTAAGGATTGTTGCGCTGTGTACTATCTACTATGCCACCACTCCCATGAATACATATAGAAAAGGCACCACAGAAGCTATTATTCGAACTAACCCGATGGGTGCAAGGAAAAACTCAGTGAAGCCCGATGCTCCAAAGCTAGAGGGACTTCCATTGGTCAGGAAGAGTACATTTTCTAAAGCAGAGTATGGGAAAAGGAGTCTCATATGTGGCTTTCCACCACCATGATTTTGTATGTTGACGCGAGAAAACTGGAATTCAGATTGACTTAAATGTGACGCAGGCTAACGAAAACATTGTTACATTTCAAATGCATTAAAAACTAAACTCTTGCTGGTTATTTACCAGCCTATATTCTAATCCATGTAACTGTAGATGCTTTCTAGCCAGTGAATGAGGCAAGGCGGCCATGTGGTCCCATACCTTTACAGATGGGCTTGGATGCAGACCATGTGCCACTCTCCAAGCAGTCCTGAAATGAGTTTCCTATAAGTGAGAAGCCAGCCTCACAACTATAAGTAACCCTTGATTGGTATTGATATTGGAGTGATAGCTGAAACACCAATTTCTCAGTAGCATCTATCTCAGGACACGAGACAGCTGTGAACAAAAATAAGAAATTGATGTGAACATTGCAGACAAAACAATTGCTTATTCAATTTTCAACGAAACACGCTAGGATTTTTGTATCAGAGCAGAATAATAAACATGATTTTTTAAAGGTCATGGGTTAATTTATTAAACTCAAAGGTTACATAAAAAGCATTAACACCAAAGTTAACGCGACCGAAAGTAAATTACAGCATGGACTTAATTTACAATCCTTGTGGCAGGTGGAAGATATTATTTGAATACAAATTGGAGGCCTACATTGCTTGATTTCTGAGTTCTTGCTTATATGGTGTAAGACGCAAAGGGAATACATACAAAATGGGTGCAATTAATCTGTTGATAAATAAGGATGGCAGAATGCTATGCCCAGCTTAAAGGAAGATGCTGCTCGTTTCGTATCTTTTAAGATGCTACATTCACCAAAACACTTTAAACTAATTGCTACTTGCCTCAAACATTATACAAGACTTCTCCTTAAACTGTTTATTTTTTACAACCAAGTAAAATTACACTTACATGCCTTTGGATTAAACTGTAATAACAGCCATCTTAAGTACAAATGCACGGGTGAACATAAAACAGCTGTAAATGGTATCACATACGCTGGCAATCTGGTGGATCCACTGGATTCCAAGTCCCATCAGCCATGCATGTAAGTTGGTATATTTTTCCTGTGAGCTCATACCTGCAGAACAACAAAACAGGAAACCATGCTCCAGGCCGCAAATGATGTGCATCCTGTTCACAAATTTTTATGCCTCAGAACAATTTTCTTTTGATATATTTTCCCAAACTTATCACAATTCTTTCCAGATTTGAAGTTTTAGTGACTGCAAGGATTCATACTCTTTGTTTTTTTCGGTAAAGTCACGTAGGTAAAAAATTTGAAATAAATGAAATTAAATAGAATGAAAACAACTCAAATTAAATGAAATCACGACGTTTCGGGTGCAACACAAGCGTCCTTCTTCAGGTGGAGACAATGTAGCGAAAGCACAACCGCTTCAGTGTGTCTCAGAGATGGCTGTGACGAGGAATTATATAGTCGCGGGGGGATGGTGGAGGGGAGGGCCATGGTGGGTGTGGGGGCGGGGTGTGGGCTGAGAGGCAAAGATGAGGCACCGGGGGTGTACTGGGAGGCAACGACTTGAGGCGAGACTGAGGCTTTGTGATGTAAATGGTGGAAGTAGATAAGCAAGCTAGGATTAAGCCGCATTTTGTTATGCTACGGGGGGTGGTAAATTAGAAATGTGTAGGCTAACAACACGTGGGGTTGAAACTGAAATGTGAAAGCTAAAAAACAGCGTGTGGTAATGGTGATGGTAGTGTGTGAAGCTGGGGGTAAACATACTGGGAAAATGGATATGGACATGAGAATAAATATAAACTGGCTGTCGAGCAGTAAACTGCACGGTAGCTAAAATTTGATGTATCATGTAATGGAATGAATAATCCATTCAGAGCTCTCACAGAGCAATGTAACCCTCCATGTTAGAAAACGGTTCACGAAAATGCATATTACAAAAGGTAAAATCCCTTCAATTGTCCCCTTGTCGACACAGTTGGGGGTGATGGTGTACTTTTCCATTCGCTCTGCTACTGAGAGTGAGACTAGTCACTACAGTAAAATTTCTATTTTTTATTCTGGGAGCCGAATTCTACCCAAATGAAGTATGGAAGCATATTTAGTTATGGTTTCCCGTAAAGTTATTGGTGATCGGTCTGTGACTAACAACTAACTCACTACACGTAGAGTAGTATAATCACAGCCGGCTGCCTGGATTCGAACCCAGAATCTAAGGTACCAGTTTAACAGGCAACTTTTTATAACACATTTTTTTAAATAAAAATCATGAAAATGGGATAGTCAATAAGATAACCAAGGCAAAGCAAATGTGCTGCAAAGAGTATAATACTCACCCAACATCACACGTATACGTAACGGTATCTCCGAAAAAGGTGCCGCCAGTGTAAGAGCCTTGGTCAATAGGTTTTGGAGAACATTGCTTACCTGTAATTATAAAAGAACTCGTATTAAGCAAGAATAAGACACATGCTTCATAGCAATCCCCATGAATCGATGTGGTTGTGTTGTGAAGTTCCAAGCAGACCATTTATACCAAAATTATTATGCGGTAATGCAAACTTCACAAGCTATAAAATAAACAAATGATACCGTTTTTGGAACAAAATATTTACTCGTTTTGATCCCGGCTTTACTTCCAATTTGCTGATGCACCCTTTTAATCCACACATTTCAAAAAGTAATCATTCAGTATGCAACATATAAGCACTATCATGCTTTGCTTTCATATGTGTTCATCAGCAAATACAACCAATCCATGCCACTGCTTCATGCACTCCCATGACTCCTGCTGCTTTTGTATAATCAGTATTAATCTGTAGCTCATACAAAACGTCTAACCATTCTGTTTTGGGGATTAAGCTCCACGTAGCTTATGCTCGTCAATGCTGGGCCTTATTCATTAATCCATGGTTGCACTGAAATCCTCCTGGTGTGGTAAAGTAGACCAGCAAGGGGTCGCCCGGGATATCAAGGTAAAATGAGCAATACTTACGCTCGCACCAATAGTTTAGCTCTTCCCAAGTCCCATTGGCCACGCACGTCAGACGTAATGAAGAGTTTCTTGATGGAGCATAACCAGAATTGCACTTGTACCGCACAAATTCATTCACAGGAAAAAATGTGTTCGTCGAATCGGGTCGTCCATTGTTTACTCTTGGTGGTGGTCCACATCCATCTGATGAAACAAACACACTATTAAATGTATGCATCTACATCACAATTAATCAATTAATTTAAAACATCAACTGCCAATACTTTGGCCACTCCGCAGTTTCATAGCTAAAAATCAGTGCAACTTACAAGGGTGCACATTCTGAAACGTGATTATATTATTAGCATGAGACACTTAGTGTAGCGCCATGAGACACATTCATAATGAGTCATGTTCACATTGCAGGTGGTCTCTGCATAGCACCAATGTGGTATTTATTTTATCAAAATTGAAGTTATGGATGTGCAGTAAACTCACAAATGAGATGATCATGAATTAAATTCTTAACCAAGCACTCTGCCACACCACTATCTAACCAGATTATTACAAATAGATCTTAATGTACTCACCAGGATCATACATATATGCACACTTACACTGAACTTATACAGAGCCACCACCCACAATAAATACATAACTGACCCAAAGTCTACACATTCCTTCAGGAGACTCTCAGATGAATGTTGAAACCAGTTAATTACCTGAAATACTCATTAAAATATATATATATATAGTCTTGTTTTCCACACTAAACACGTAGCGATTATCGGCACCGTATTCACACAAAATGGTCTATAAAATCGGGCTTCTCAAGGAAAGCTCTTCAGTGTTGAAACATTATTGAGGTGTTTTAGTTGAGCGGGGGCTCATTGGGATGGAGCACAGACGTAGTGATGACCTGAAAGGATTCCTGGCCACAGTTACTATCAATGGCGAGTGATATCTTTACTAGTCCCGGGCATCCCCTTCACCAACCCACACAGACCGTAATAGTGAAGTATGGTCAAACAATCTTCATGACCAGCATGGCATGACCATCTCACCCTGGATTAACAAAGGGGCTGTAAATGATTATAAATTGTACAAATTGTTACAATTTGAGCTATTTCCAATCAGGCCACACCCTAGCGCAGAAAACAAAGAGACAACTGTGTTCGTACATTAATTGGCCAAGATGTTTCATGCTGTCTATTTTATATATATGCACAAAATACAATTGAATGACTAGAATGGCAACAAAACCTCTTACCTTGTGCAGTGACATGTAGAGCTCCAAGAAGAATGCAAAATAGCATGGGAATAAGCATCTTTTGAAGATTAAGAATCATTCTAAAAATAAAATTAGAAAGGTCGCTCGTTAGTTTAAATACAAAATGTAAAAACATTATACACCTACCCATTTTGTCCTTAAACACAAGACCACTGAATACAGACTTTTGATTTGCATCTCTCTTTTGTTCCGCTGGTTAACAAGTACAGTAAAACTTCTCATAGGCAAACTTCAGTCAGCTGGTTTCAACCTTCTGGAGTCTCAGGTTGAAACCTGTGATGAGATGCAAAATGTCAAAACAGGTCCAGTTTGCTTTCTTAAATGATGTTCGATATTATTGGTCTGCTAAGCCAATAAGGCAGCAATGAGCAACCTAGACTAGCTTGTGGGCCACATTAACAGCCACATGGGCTGCAAACTTAAAATCGTGCTCGTGCACGCACATAAGCCTAAATATACTAGGCCACAATGGGAAACTCCATGGACCGCATGCGGTCTTGCAGGTTGCCCACCATTTGCAACAATGTCATGGACTAATATATATTTTCTATGTACTAAAGTAATCGTGGTTGTATCATAATGCAGTTTCACCAAGGTGATCCATTTAAGTAGACACTGCACTCGTTTACAATTACCCTCTTAATTTTTTTCTCAATTATCATTGAATGATGTAAACAAATCACACCGTCTATGTTGGGCAATTGTATCCAGAAAGTGTTGACTCAATAAGTGTGATGAGCTAGATTGGAGAGATGTCAAGGCTTTGAATTACAAAACCGAGTTCTCTAATTTATCCCTATTAAGGTATTGTAGTGGGGTCCCCCTATATAATAAGTGAGCATATAGACGCATCTGCATGCTGGACTTGTTTATTGTAATATACATGACAGGTTGTCTCTGTCACTGGCTTTAGTTTCAGTTCAACTTAAGTTCGGATTATTTATGATTAACATTACTTTGTTATCACTCTGCTGTTAGTGGTAACCAAGTACTTAACTGTTGCAATTACTCCTAAAGCATAGTTAATTATTTATTAATGGAAATTATAAAAGGCATTAATAAGGCCAATAAAATAGGTACTGCATTCTTTCACCAACCCACACCGATCAGTGTGGTGACGCATGGTCACGTTTCCAACCAATGTTAGTGCAGCCTAAACCAAACAATGCCGAGCTAAAGCCAGAATAAAAAAAAAAATTGGGACGTAAGTTGGTCTCGATGAATTGTAAAAGGAGAACCCCAAAGACGTATAAAAAAATCATTGTATGGCCCGCGAATGATGGTATAAATATCCAAATGGCCCTTGGCAGAAAAAAGGTTCCCCACCCCTGGTCGACATCAAACTTCAGCCCTACAAAGAAGGCGAGTCAGATGTCGAAATCTGCGCAGAGAGTTACAGGCTGCGAATCAGTGTGGGTAGGGGATCAGCAGAGAGCAGCAAAAACATAAATTGTAGTTCGTGTCAACTCCCCGCCTTTAAAACCCACACTGCGACCAGCGTGAGACTTGGCTAAGCAACCCACGGGGAAGCCCTCATCTAGCAGTGGATTGACACCACCACCATCATCATCAGCAGCAGCAATGAACTGCTGGACGAAGGTCCCCCCCAATGCCCCCGATGGCTGCAGCCACCCCCTCTGATCGTGGGATGTAACAACCCACCAAATACCGAGGCACGAAGCGATTCCATCGCTCCATCTCCTCGAGTCACACACTGCTCGGCAGAGGTCGCAAACGGGTTTTGATTCCTTACCCGTACCCGGCCGTACCCTACCCGTACCCGGCCGGGTACGGGTATCGGGTACCCGGTTGCGACCTCTGCTGCTCGGATACGATCATACTAGAATATGCTACGAACGATTCCACCACCGAAGTACACGAGTGTCAACATCGTAATGTCAACATCATAACAGCGCTAAAACGCTGACAACTTGCGACCTTAGCTGCGGGCACCATTAGGCCTCAACCCACCACCTCCCTGGCGTCTCGCGTCCGCCATCCCCTCCTCGCATCGCTCACCTCACGGTTGTCGCCGATGTGGCCGCGTTTGGAGGTCGCTTCGCCGCCCTTTCGCGACCGATGTTGACGGATGAACGCGCGGTGTTTTCTAGGGCGAGCCGACGCCCCAAGCGTCGTCTTTGGCGCTTGCGACAGCCCGGAAGGTGACGTCACTCCGCGGCGAGTGGGGTCTATCCGCACTAGCATTTACAACGGCCGGCGCGATTGGTTGTCATAGTTCGCATAGACGACCGGCGGAGAGCGATCGAATATGGTAGTCCGCATGGGCACCGAGCGCGTCGGGCGGGGTGACTCGAGGTCACGACAACAACGGAAGTGGTCGCCACCCAAAGGCAAGAAATGGGTCAGCAAGAGAGCCAATCAGCGCGCGGCTCGGGGAGCACGTGACACTTTGACGGGGGGGGGGGGCATCAGAATATTTATTTATATTATTGGTTCTTTCGGTAAAGTCACGTAGAAGGGAAATAATAAAATAAAAATTTCATTCCTTTATTATTTCCCTTCTTTTATTCTTTCCCTTCTACGTGACGTTACCGAAATAACCAATAATATGAATCCCTGCAGTCACGAAAGCTTTAAATCGAAATGTATGTATTTATACTGCAGTAAACCTGTCAACCCCTTACCAGTGCCAAGCTTATTACAGACCAATTCAGACCTATCACAAGGGAGAAACACAAGCAAATGAACAAATGTTTTTGTTGCCCTATTTCAGTTTCATTTATATCTATATATATAAAAGGGACATTTGTGAATATGTGTGTCTGTTCAAAATGTTTAGCGTACTTCCCGACATGCAACAAACTTTAAATTTGCCATGTGGGTACTTTCCAGACTGCACACTTTTGGTATATTTTTTTTGGGGGGTTGGGGTGCAATAATGCATATATTTTGCACGGAAAGTGAGCTGTGACGTCACATCTGTCATGTAACGCGTATAAGGAAGCGTAACGGAGTGTGCCTGTACAAATGTGTTTGGTCAGGGGTATAGGAAATTTCATGAGCAGGGGTGACTCCCAATACATTATCAAAAAGATCACCAGCTTCAGAAAAATGAAGGTTAAAATTGTCGACTATTTTTTGGGACTGAAAAATAGTCCCCATTTCGGTTAAGCACAACGGGCAGATTATCTGTGTTGGTTGCCTTTTCGATACATTTGATTGTTTTCCAGAAGATCCTGGCATTGCCATGTAATTCCAGGAGAGTGGAGGAAAAGTAAGCATTTTTTTTACGCATCTATTCCTTAAAATCCTGTATTCTAGCCAGTCATTGACCAAATAACTTTTCTGAGCACATGCTCAAGCCTTGCCCCTAGTTTTCATCAGCTTAGTAATAAAAGCATCAAACCATGGTGGGCGGTTGCCTTTAATTTTAAATCTAACCAACGGAGCATGTTTGTGAAGAATTTGGAGAAACGTCTACCTGAAGGTCTCCCAAGCCGTCGTCAGGTTGGAGATATCAAAGACCTTGTCAATATCCGAGTGAAGCACATCATTAGTAAATGAAACGGCTGTATGTCTCGTGGACCTGAAAACTCAATTTCCCTGTATAAGAATACAGGTAAACTGTATGGGTTGACAGCTATTCTGCAGATAGAATCCGATGAGCTATAAAGCTATTTTTCACAAATGTCCAGAAGGAGGCATGGGTTAAGAACGTTTAAACAACAAACAGTTACAAAACATGATAGTAGTGCAAAGTACAAGAAAGGTAAACGAATAACCCAAACACACATACAAAGAAAACTAAACCATCCCCATCCTACCAGGCAAAGCCCACTGAGGTGTTAACTTTTTTTTCATAAGCGACCTGGCCACAAATGATAGCTCAACAAAGTGGCCCATCATCATTTGGACGTTTTTTGCACCAAAATAATCAAAGTAATTTCAATACATGTTTCTAAATGTGGAGTGAAAACCGGAGGACCCATTTTGCGGGAAAGCAGTTTACGTATTCTGAAATCTAAAGAGTCTGAATCGTTATTTACAACGTTTTTTTTTTACAGATGCTCAGTAGGGGCGGGCCAGAACGTTACAACAACAAAAAACATTACGAAAAAAACACGGTAGGAGTGCAAAGTATAGGAAAGGTAAACAAATTACTTAAACACAAACAAATAAACTAAACTAGTTGTCGTCGTGCAGATTATACGAAACAATCTAGTATAAATAATAATGAGGCATCATTATTATATTTTGGGCCTGATCGTGATAAGTGCCTAATCGGCAGAGTTCAGTTTTCTTGAATTAAAATAAATTATCAATTATGAATCATAAAACTGTATTGGTCGAGAAAAGACGACGGATTAGATATGTAAATACAGTACAGGGGACTAGCGGTCACAGGGGGTAATGACAGGGGAATTAGCAAAGGAAGAGACTAGGGGCCACAGGGGGTAATGACATGTTAAGGGACAGATAGGGGAACGATCTGGGGTCTACGAGAAGAATCGAGAATAGGGGCTGTGGTCAAGTGATAGAAGGGACAGGTGTGGATCACACGCGCGTGCACCTGCACGGGCACGCGCGTGCACCTGCACGGGCACGCGCGTGCACCTGCACGGGCACGCGCGTGCACCTGCACGGGCACGCGCGTGCACCTGCACGGGCACGCGCGTGCACCTGCACGGGCACGCGCGTGCACGCAGCCACCTCCGCATTTTGGGTGGTGTACGTGGGGAGTGGCTGGGATAACTCCAGGCGGTGGTGAGCCAGCCACTAGCCATGTCCCTCAGAGAGGATGCTGGTGCTGGGAGGCCAATCACCCAATCGGCGGCAGCCCAGCGAGAGGGGACCGAGGAGGAGGGGGGAGAGGAGGAGAGGGGCGTTAGCCCCCACAAATGCTACATGATAAACAAGCCATTAGATAGACAGTGTAAAGAAATACGAGAAGGCAATTGGGGAAAGTGGTGGAAAGTTCACCAATGACCGCCAAGTAGTATCATCATCACACCCAAATTCAGCGTCATTTTTTGGTGTTTTGTTGTATCTGTGTTATTATTTATTCGTATCATTGTTCACTTTAAGTATATGGATGCTATGTGGTTACTCTACGGGATTAATGTTACGAAACATTTTAATTGCCTTCCCCATGTTCAGTTGGACACAGCAACCTAACGCCCCTTCTTCCCTTACAAACACAGTACACAGTATCTACATTTACACATTCTACTTTTGTGCAGATTATCAAGAACCCAACCCTTGCGGATGTCGATGCTTTATCGTACTGTTTTTCTCCTGGCATTCTTGGGTAATAAGTCTCCATTTTCTGTAGCACCCTTTCGACTTGAGAAACAAGATGGCCATATTAGATATTTTCACCGATTGCTGTCTTGCGGCCAGTGCAGTCAGGTGTGCAGTGGGCATATCACCGCCATTTCCCATCAGCGTTGGAGTGCACCAAGGATCGGCCCTGTCACCACTCCTGTTTATCCTGTGCATGGACACGATCACTGCCGACCTGCACACGCCCCTTCCATGGTCAATTCTCTACGCGGATGACGTCCTCCTCTCAGATGAAGAGAGAGGAGAAGTGGAAAGACAAACGCGCCTGTGGAAGGAACGTTTGGACGAAAACGGGATGAGGTTCAACATCAAAAAAACGGAGTATATGGAGTGTGGCCCCCAAACCGACGGCACCATCAGCATTGACGGAGAAGATCTGAAGAAAGTGACGGACTTTAAGTACCTGGGCTCCACCATCAGCTCAGATGGTAGCATCACGACTGATGTGAGGTCACGAGTCAATGCGGCGTGGATGAAATGGAGGCAAGTCACCGGAGTCCTCTGTGATCGGAAAATGCCGGATAGGCTGAAGGGAAAAATATACAAGACCATCGTCCGACCGGTGGCACTCTATGGATCCGAGTGCTGGCCAGCCACAACTGTACACGAACAAGCTCTCCACACCATGGAGATGAGGATGCTCAGATGGAGCCTCGGGCTCACTCGATGGGATCGTGTCAGGAACGAAGACGTTCGGAAGCGACTTGGTGTGGCCCCCATTGCGGACAAGATGCTTGAGGCAAGGCTTCGGTGGTACGGCCATGTGATGCGAAGTGAAGAGTCATCAGTGGCCAAGACTGCCGTGCGTATTGAGCCAGAGGGCCGCCGTCCACGCGGACGTCCGAAGAAGCGATGGATGGATCGAATAAAGGAAGACATGAAGACGGTCAACGCATCCCCTGAAGATGCCCTGGACCGAGCCAAATGGAGAAGACAATGCCGAAAAGCGGACCCTGCGCCACAGCGGGAACAACGCTAGGAAGAAGAAGCTGTCTTGCGGCCAGCGTCACCGCTTCCTTTTTTTGTCGCCATTTTTGTTGGAGATCTTTTTTCACCACCGTGAATCCAGTGCTTTCTTGCCCTCCTTTCCTTGGTGCACGTGCTTGTATGTATTTTCTTTCCGGATCCATTCCATACACAAGTCCAAACCACCCGAGTCGTCTCTTGTATCTTCTCTATCAGTGTTACCTAGTGTTCCAGTTGTTCTCTTATTGCCTCTTCTTATCTTCTGTAGTCTAGACACACTTAGTATTATTCTCCTGTAATATGTTAATTGGTATTTCTCAATCATGGTGTAGCCAGAATAAAATTTTGATTATTAAAAGCTTCTTTACCAATCCAATGCTCATCGAAGGCCTCCATGCCATGATAGTCATGCAGTTTGTTTTACCATATTTTACCACGCCAGTCACTCTGGGTTGATGATGGGGGTGAGGGCAGAATTATTCAGATATCACTCACCACTGATATTAGGCGTAGTTGGGAACCAAACTCAGTGCGTGAGATTCATAACACAGTTCACTAACAACTGCCCCACCACTCCACATTTTATCACTGATTGCACACTTAATAACAGTTAATTTAGCAAAATATTTATTGCCATATTAAACACTACAGTGTATTGAAATATTGAACACCGTAGTCCAACGTACAAACATTACAATCAGCCCCTGAGGTCGTAACGGGTTTCTTTTTAGACTTTTGTTTCCCCATGTCGTCTGTGCCGTTCCCGTTCTGCTGTAATGTGCACTGATGCCTACTTTATTGAGGGTGGCATTGGCACAACATTTTTTTTTATTTGATTGAATCACTTCCACAAGTAACCACGTGATATTTCAGCTCACATTGCTGATGTACTTATAATTAACTCCAGTTCTGATTCTCAACAGATAT